CTGTTCTTTCCATAATCAGCAATTTATCTAAACTGCTGTTGGAAAAAAAACAGAGAATCACATGGTGTGGGCACAAGAATCACCTAAAACCTTGTCGTCTACCTCTTTTACAAAAATCAGATCTTTCATTTCGTAAAGATGTAATCAATGGTGAACTAACCTCACTGCAATCTGTTTAGGTTCACGGACAAGAAGCTGTGTTCTTTGGTCTATGTAAGCAACGAAAAACGTCAAGACAATGTCAACAGCAAAGAACAAGTCTACGATGTTGTCTGCTATACAAAGATTTCTCTTTGGTGAGGAATTCAAGAATGCGACTTCAAAGGGGTAAACCCACGCAGAGTATGCCACCAAAAGCACCATAAATGATTCCCACCACCTGAATCAACCACACATAAACACTAGTTAACTCGTGTACGTTATCTTTGAAGATAAACAAGATAAATCCTAGTTAATGCATTATCACTAATCCAAGCATCACTTTATGTCTCTGAGAATGTCCTCAACACAAGATCATTTTCAAGACGACCCGAGCATCATTCAACTTCCATCAACTCAGTAGATTTGTTGCGTCAAGCAAAAGAGAGATAAAGAATGTGTTTTTCAGGTGCTTTGTATCATAGAGAAAGTGGATAAAGAGGAACATGGATGGTACCTGTATCTTGAATCCATGGGTGAGATAATCCATCCACTAGAAATGATATGATTCTGGTTGTAGCTTGCAACACCAAGTGGAGGAAGAATAAGCTTTGACAGGTTGTTCAAACTGAGAGAAGAAGCATCATACTCTTCCTCTCTCCCTTTTCCTCGATGATGATGATGAAAGCCCCGGAACTGCTTCATGTCTGAGGAGGGTAAGTTGCAGTGAGATGCTGCATACTTGAACTCCATTATATATTTCCTGAACAAACAAAAAAGTTCGTTTTTTTTTGTCTTCGTAAACTAAAGAGAGAGAGAAACAGAGAGAGAGGTTTTTGGTGAAGGATATAATAATTGCAATGAAGAGGGAGTGTGTGGTTTGTATAGTGCAAACCGTACGTGGTGGTGGTGGTGTTGGTGGTCCTTTTGTTAAGATTGAAGTGAGATTGAGAAAGCTTTTGTGGGGGACACAATTTTGAGTTTTTGAGGGATCAATCACAGTAAATAATGACAAAAACGAATTGATTGATTTATGTGTTTGGCGATAAGGTTATGAAGTGTGAAAGATGGGACCCTAAAAGAGAGAGGTAATATGGTTAAGAGCCAGAAAAAATTATGCAAAACGTGGCTTTTAGAACTCTTTGAGGGTCCCAATGTATCACTCATTAGCAACTTTAAAACTCAAAAGGGAGATTAAGAGAACATAGTAATGCTTCATTTCCACATACTTGAAGAGAATGTTGTGTGTACTTATAAACATTGACTAGCGGGAATGTGAAGCAGAAGAAATGAGAGAAAAGGAATTAGATTCCGGTGAAGAATAAACCGGGGACCAGCTTTTTAGGCGGAAAAGGCGATATATTTCCCTATTCGTGTAGTCATCTTCGGTATAGTATTCATCTAGATTGATCATATATTCTTAATTTGTCTTTTTTGAGGACAATCACATGGTTAGCTCCTAAAAATTAGAAAGGACAAAGTGAAAGATATTGTAACCAACCAGTTTGTACTCTGTTATTGGAGAAATGTCTTTAAGATCCAATATGGAATCACACTGCCTACTTTGCTCCTTCACCATCTCGCCTAAGTGTGTCCAAGTTGCTTTGCTTTTAAGATCCTCCATGAACCTGCCAAAGTTCTAATCTTTTACATTACCAACAAATGTCACAACGAGAATTAGAGGAACAACTCGGAGCCATAGATCCTGGACCAGGAACTGAAACTTTTTGTTGGTAACGACATCTTAATTTTAGTGTTTATGATCCATAAAACACATGAGTGGTCGAGTTCACCACTCTCTGCAACTTTGTATGTATATTTATATGTCATCATAAATAAAATTAAAAATGTTTCGGAGATTTTCGTCTTTTACAATGCAAGATTGCAAGTCTCCTATATTAATGAACAGACATGTCAAGGTCTAGGAAAAACACGATAGGTAAGTGTTTTCCAAGATTTTTCTGATGCTAAGACCATCATTATCGCAAAAACTTATATCAGTTTCTTATGTAATCTTTTTTATTATTAAATTTTGTTAAAAACATGGCCCACAAAACATATCATTGTAAAAACTGATTGAGCAGTCCTGGTCTTGCATTAAAAATGTGAATTTACATGTGAAATAAATTACTTCTGAACATATAATGGTATTAAAGGAAGTTCACGTAATGAAACTGATTGAGCAGTCCTGGTCTTGCATTAAAAATGTTGGCCGAGGATAATAGTAATAATCAAACCTATTGTAACGAATCACGTGTTATTGCCCCGTGCCCAGGGCCGTGCCTTCTGCTTCCCTATTGTTATACTGTTTACAATCTTTTTAGTAGTTAAATAAATTGTTTTAAAAAAATTTGCACACAAAAAAAAAATTTGCACTCAAATAAAATATAAAAAAATATTGTTGGCATCTTTCGAATTATATATATATATATGTTTAATTCTTAATTTTGTTAATTTTTACTTTATTTTATATTTTATATTTTTCTCGTTATATATGTTCGAACAGTTCAAGATCGACTTTCTCTGGTTTATCAGAGAGAAAAAAGGGAGACACTGTCGTGGTAATTTCTTTTAACTTGAGATTATTTTAGTATATAATGTAGTTAAGCATCATTATTTATTTCAAAAGTACCAATACAAAATGAAGAAGGAAAAGAAATTTAAAATACTACTAATTTGACGATGACTTAGCTTTAGTGCTTCTTAATGCATGTGTTGTTGATAAACAGAAAAAGCTATAACTACTATATTTTATCACTATTTTTTACCGTGACCACATATGTACACCCACAAAAACCATCAATGATCAATAAATAGTCAATCTATCACCATTCCTAAATAATTTTAATATTTTCTTAATTCGCCACCACTGCCACATGCGTAGTTTCGTAATTCGTATGATAGAAATCTCAATCAGAAGTAACTGATTGAGCAGTCCTGGTCTTGCATTAAGAAACTAATCTTATAATTCCCAAATAAAAAAATTTTCTTGAGTCGAATATACCATTTGATTATATTTATTATTAAATTTTCTTAAGAAATCCATTAAAAACTGCCGATAATGATGCTCTAAGTAATCACAGTTTGATACGTCGAAAGCAAAAAAAAAAAGGGGGGGCAAAAATGGTTAAATAATTTTGAACTCGAAGGAAATGATGAATCCACAAATATCCTTAGATTTTAGAGGTTTTGTCTGGCGAAAGAGTCAAAATGTTAAGAGTTGAAGAGAGAAATGGCCGAAGAAATATTAAAAATAAAACATCAATTTAAATATATTTTTTAGAAAATTATCTTTGATGGAAAAGAAACTTCATCATGTGGATCCAAAAGTCTCATGAAGAATCAAATTTTCAGCACGATCAGGAACGATCTTGAATCGCTGTCGGTATGTGCTCACCATTTTCGTTTTGACATTTGCTGTAATGTCAAACGAGGAACAACAAATGTCAAATGTAAACACATTTTATCTATAAAATATTGAGCAGGAGGCGGGCCTCGTCATATATATAACATGATGTTATTATATATTTGATTCGTGTCTGAATATTAGTTAGAATTAATTAATAGGCGAGCTGGATCACACGTCGTGGAGAGTCTTAATAAGAAATAACGTTAAATTGTATAATACGGTCCAAGTTAAATAAAGCCACGTTTTTGATTAGGCTCTCTCCTCTCATACCTCTCCAGTGCTATAAATTAAAACCTCCTTTTGGCTAAAATAAAATCACAAAGAGAAGAAGAAAGAATAGAGAAAGATCAGCAAAATATAATGGGGAGCTTAAGGTTGAGCACAGTTGTTGTTGCTGCAGTATTCGTTTGTTTCTCCATCCTCATCCTATCTCCTACAGGTACGTACGTCGTCGTATATAAGAATCAAAGTCTTGATTTATTTTCCCCAAAAACTAATTAAGATCTTCTAATTATATATACAATTAATGTGTCTTTTGTTATGTGGATTAATGGACGAACAGAAGTGGAGGGGAGTTGTGACATCCCATGGGGAGTGTGTCATTTTATAAGTGAGACGTGGGGCGACAAATGCAACGACAAGTGCAAGGCCTCCGGCTATGATAGTGGCACCTGCACTCCAGGAGGAGATGTCATGACTTTTATTATGACTTGTATGTGCTGCCACTGATCAATGTGCTTCCAAAACGTACTACGTCACTTTGTAATTGTGTTGCATGAGTTTATATCACATTTTACTTACTTTGTTTTGTGACCCTGCTTCGCTTCCGTTTGTATTTGCGTTCATCAAGGTTTTATTCTCTTTTTGTTGTACCCTGTGCTTGCTTTGCTTCTGTTTTGTTTCGAGGTCATCAAGTAGTTTCAAATAAAAATTGTGTTTCGAGCGAGCCATCATCCCATTACAAATTTTTTTTGTATTTACCTTTGATTTTTTATTCTATGGGGGAAAAAAACCATTTAAATCCCAAAACTGTGCTTCGTTTGTGCCATTTAAGTCTCCAACTATTTTGTTTCAGGTATATACAGTATATGATCTGGAATCTTATCCACAGGTTGGTAAAAAGTATCCAAGCATCTCCTAATCACCGATATGAAATTATTGGATGGAATGAAGTTTCATCCCCTGGATCCAAATCACCTCAAGAATACTATAATATTCGAAACGATCAGATAAGATATCTTGAATTGGACTTTGGATTAGAGAAACGTAACATAGATTGAAGAAGCAAATGGGAAATAAACCTTTAGATACACTATTTGATTCTTTTTTTTTTTTAACGATCCAAAAGCCATTTCTTCGAGAGAATGTAGAAATAGATACTTTGAAATATATCCTCTACTACTTAATTAAAAAAAAAATAGAGAAATTATAAAGTGAATATATGGGAAACACGAAAACTGTAAAACTTGTACGTAATAGTTATAAATCTCCCAAAGAAGAGAGAAACCATCACAACACAAACATTGCATAATACAGCAAAACGAACTACAGGGCAAAACCAAACTCATTCTTAGATGTTTTGTTTTTTTGGTTTGTCAACAGAGTTTATGCAAAATACTTCTTAAACTTGATCTTTAGAACATACCATTTCACTACATACCACAGGTTGTGTGTATCCTCTTCTACTCCTCCCTTGTTTTCACCATCATATACACAATAGCAAAAGGAATCTAAGCCTGTGCGGTTTCTCCAACTGCTGCACCACCGTTTGTTTTCACACGCTTCTCCTTGTAGTCTTTCACAGCTGCCTTGATGGCGTCCTCCGCCAACATACTACAATGGAGCTTCACCGGTGGGAGAGAAAGATGCTTCGCAATTTCGCTGGCACACAGAAACAAAAGCACAAATTCAATTCAGGACTCCAGTTATTGAGAAAACCCATGACATATATCACAATGCTTAGTTTGCCTCAGATAACCAAGTCAAGTGACTGAGTTTCTCCAAACAAAAATAACATTTATCCTAATACGGTAACCGGTATGTCAACAATCAAAGAGTGAGTCAAAATAGACAAACACTAACTTCACATAACGCAACAACTCAAAACAGATTATGTTAATGTCTGCCACTGCAATACATGACTAGTAACAAACGGCCATACTTGGTCTTGCGAAGTATGAATGCCCAATCATAACATCAAATGTAAGAGACAAACAAACGGTACTTACGTATTCTTGATGGTCAGAACTTCCTCCATAGCTTTGCCTTTCACCCATTCAGTAGCTGACAAACATAAAAATCAGTCAACCACATTAGAAAACTGCTACATATTCCCACTAAAAACAAAAGCACTAAGCCGTAAACTTCAAAATGACATCAGATATGACAGAGAGAAGGTAGCTCTACTTGCACCCTCATGAACGACAAGACAGAAATTGGAACAGAAGCATAAGACATAGCATCGAAAAGAGAAAATGTTTCACAAGAATCCGTCACAACGATCGTAGTAATTCATAATTGAATCATAAGAAACGTCTCATTTCACAGAATTCGACTAATATCAGTTTAAAATCAATCCGAGCATTTATGGCACAAAGCCCCAAATTCGGTCACCACCTAACCTAATTTCCTCAATTTGAGAGGAACTAATCAAAATCCCTAATTGGAATCCGTACCTCAAATCCTCTGATTTCTCTAATTCACTCGTCAATAGAACAGCATAAGAACGAAATCACGAAAATCTCTACTAGAAATTTCCAATCAACCTTTCAAAAATTAGAAGGTAAACATACCGACGGATGAAGACGCGATAGCGGAGCCACAACCAAAGGTCTTAAAGCGAGCATCAACGATTTCACCGGTCTTTTCATCGACCTTGATCTGAAGCTTCATCACATCACCGCACGCGGGAGCTCCGACGAGACCCGTGCCAACGCTGGGATCATTCTTATCGAAAGACCCAACGTTACGGGGATTATCGTAGTGGTCGATGACGTTCTCGTGGTAGGATCGGAAGATACCAACAGAACACGGCGTCGATTGACGAGAGGTAAGGCCTAGAGCCTTCTTCGCAGCTTGCCTGATCATCATCGTCGATTAGGTTTTCAGAGTAATTTTTTCCGCGGATATTGGAATTTGGATGAGATCGAAAATGAGGGTTTCCCTTTAAGGGATATGAGATATGAGAAGGCGGTTTGGTTCAGATAAGAGCGGGGACACGTGGATGGTTAAGATGGTTTTATTATTTTTTTGGTTAAAACATAAACATCATGATATTTGCTGTTTCTTTTAGCTCAGCTTGAAACGCTAACCTGAGAATCTCGGACTTTGACTTTTTCCGTTGAGTAGCGGTTAAGCCGTTAAGGTCGGGGAAGTAAACCGGGAGAGAGAGTTTGGATATCTCGGATTAGGGTTTTTTAAGTAGAAGACTCTAACTGGTAAGGAGGGTTCACATAAGCAGAAGACTCTTGACTCTTTGAGAGAGTGAGAAGGATTGCCGTTTCAGATTCTTGCAAAATATTAGTATGTATCTCGTTCCACATTTACCAGTGACCTTTCTCTATGTTTTTCGCGAACTCCATTTTTTGTTGTATTACCAAAACGTATGATTAATCGTATCAATCAATCTAAACTCGTAAATTGTGTCATTCGTGTGTGTCGTTCTTGCTATGTTTCTATAATCGTGAGTGTTTGTCTATGTATAGTGAAAAATTCAAGTGATATCTTGTTCCATGATTCCATCATAAATGATTTGTATTTGTGAAAATCTGAAAAACAAGTCTTAGACCTATAGGCCATAGCAAAAGAAGCTACATAGCAGTTTCAACATTATTTCTTAATTTCCATATTATCCGAGTTAATAATAACGATTAAGAAGTAAACCTATAACAACACTATTGAACACTTATTTTGTACTAAGAATAGACGAGAGAGAGAGATTTTGGCGGTTCAAGGGTTCAAGAGAGGGCTTCCTTCTTTGATAAGCACAAAGACGCTTCCACCGTCTCCTCTAGAGATCCTAATGTCTTTGTCCAGATAAGTCGTGAGCAGCCAAGACTGTGCATTGTCCCCTGGCAAAGAGAATTTCAATGGTGGTTGGCTCGATATGGTTCTAGCCACAGACGAGGCTGTGTCTTGTACCGAGGTAAGCAACCCTCTGATCGGGTTAAGATCAATCTTTTGACCAAGAACCTCAACATACTCAGGGATCTCAATCGAATCCGTTAGCTGAGGAGTCCCGATTACTCCTTGCTCGAACTTAATCTACAAGAAAAAACGAATCCAAAATGTTTAACTGAATCGTTTCAAATGTGTTGATTATCAGATATTGGTTGATGGATGGTGAAACTACCTGGACGCGTTTTGGGCTTCGGATTTCGAATTTGGCATTTGTGCTAATTGAGGTTGTAGCTAAAGGACCAGCGAAACGAACGGAGTTCTGGACGGTGAAGTTTTCTGAATCAATGGTTTGTGAGATCTCATCGACTTTTACTAAAGGCACGATTCCTCGTGAAAGCAAAGGGAACAAACCAACGAACGATGTGTAGCTGCGAAAGAGACTCATCCAAATTAAGAGCAGCACGAGATTTACCATCAAGAAGACGAATTCACTCACATTCAGGCTTAATCAGCAAAAATTACTACTAACAAATCATTCCCCGAAAATAAGTTATAGCGAAACAGTTTCCACCGGAAAACTTACGCGAGGATCCATTTGCCGTTGAGAAGGAAGAGAGCTTCCGTCGGAGCCGGGGTAGGGTTTTTCGACTCGAGCTGTGTGATCAGATCTCCGATTTCGGCTCTGGTCTCGCTCGACGCGCTCAAACCACGATCTGTTCCGTACAACGAATCCGCCAGTGTTCTCTTGAGAACCTCCGTCTCCTCCACGGCTTCGATTGCTTCCTCCGCCACCGATAGAGCAGATCCTCTCTCCCCTGTCTCCGGACCCCATTCGTCTTCCGCATCGGTGACTCGTACTCTGAAATCCGCCCGGGAAACAGCGAATCGTCCGGTCGAGAGCACTGGACGGCGAGTAATCGAGCTTGCCGGCACCAGAATCGGAGGCTTGGAAAGGGATTTTGAGTTTGCTGAGCTCGAAACTCGAGTTTTGCAGGGGGATTGGCTGAACAATTGTACCGTCGCCATTTTTTTTTCTTTCTTTTCTTCGACCAAAAATTCGAAGCTAGTGAACAAGAAATGACCCGTACTAATTTATAGCAATTGTACTTGAAATGGCGAATTACGTAAATGTTCTCCTTCTTTCTACAACTCAAACCAAACGAGGAGGGGTAGTATCGGCTTTTGCATAAAGATCATATACAATCGACTACGATTCTGCCACGATAGGGGTAAGATCAACGGACGAGGATGACGTCGACGTTTTAAGCTTTGTGTCGTGTGATGGTGTGAGGCGAAAATTGTTTTGGTTCTTGTTTATGGCAAGAAATCCTAAATTTTATTATTTTTTTCTTGGCTAACTAATTTTGGATTTTTTTTTTGGTTTCCATATTTTCTGTTTAGATAAAGGATCAAATTAATTATAAGAAACCTACGATGTAATTTATTTCTATAAATTAATTTCAAATTGAATGTCTTACATATAAACTCAACAAATTATTGAAGTGTTTTCATTAAATTTAGAATCTGAAGCGTGTCAAACAACATCTCTTTTAAATGTGTGTATACTAAGTCAAGAAAAAAAATTACTAATGAAAAACGACTTCAAAACTACTACAATATTCCCAGATGTACGTAGAAATGCAAAAGTACTAATAGAGAACTAAACATTTCATTGGATAAACAGAAATATATAATCATTTATAGATGGATTTGGACTATAAGTTTATGTCTGTTTGTGAATTACTGGACTTAGAATATCTATTTATTTTAGTTCATCATAATATTGTGTGAGAAAAGTTATTTCCTTTATTATCTCTGCGAAATCAGCACCATGCAAATGGCATGATCAATGTTTTTGGCTAGAAACTTCTCAGTGTACTACTTTCTGACTGTTTCTGATCAACGTTCATTGCCAACGACTTTGGTCTATGAACGGTCAAGATCTGCTCGCATGCGATAAATATCTTGACACCGTTTGTCGCCAAGCGCCTTCTCTGGCGTTGTGAGCGACGCAATCGAGAGGAACATACAAAAGATACGGTTAATGGGCTTAAACAGATTAAATGGGCCTTGTGAAAAAAATCCTTTCTGTATTTTTCGCATTTACATCATCTTTCCTTACCAACAGAAACGTACAAAGTAACAAACCGTAGATAAATCTGGTGTCTACGCCTCTGCTCAGTTTAATCACGTGGATCGAGAACTTTCAGCCGTCCGATTCGTTTCAGAATATGTCGAGGATCTCGATGATCGGACGGTTGCAAAGAGGACACGAGCCTCGGTTCAGCCACAGCTCTCTAGAGCACACTCTGCAAAAAGTATGTCCACATGGGATAAACGCCGCGCCTTTCTTTCTTCCCATACACACGCAACACACCGAATCATTACCCGTTAACGTCGTCCCCATGGACGCCGTTAGTATCTCCGTCTCTCCTCCGTCATCAGCGACTTTCTCCGCCGTCTCATCCAGCAATCTCATCAACGAAACTCTCGTCGGCGTCATGTCAACCTCCGCCTCCGTCGGATCTCCACGGCTATATCTCTCCGCCTCTAACGCCGTCGCGAGATTCATACCCGAACCCGATCCAAAGTCCGTTTGAGGAACGAATCGGGTTTCTGTTTCACCTTGCTCTTCGATTTCGTCTTCCTCTCTTGAGCTGGGACTGTGAAGGGAAGTGTTGTTAGTTAGACGGAGACAGCAGGTGGGCCCACAGCATCCGATGCATTTGAATCTCAACCGTTCTTTCAGAGTCCGCTTTCTCCTGGTGCGATCGTGACCGCTCATCTGGCGTCGGAGCAAATCGAGAAACGTCGTCGTACGGTGTGTCTCCGTCATCCTCTGACTCGTTCCGATATCGAGTTCACTCATTACCGATTCAGTGAAGGAAACTCTAAAATGAAATTCTCCGATGGCGAAACAGAATCACCAGTAAAACAGACGAATCAGCTCCGCCATGTGAGAGACTCCCCCCGAGAGAGAAAGAGAGAGAGAGCGAGAAACTGAAAAAGAGAGAGAGATTGTTTAGATCTTTGTGTCTCGCAGAGTCGCAGTGATTATGATGATTATAAAGGAAGTTTCAGAGCTTTATCGAGCTTTTTTTTTCTTTTCGTATTTTTTTAAACAGAATTTTATATTTTGTTTCGTTAAAGTTGTTTCCGAATATATTATTTCCCGCGAATTAATATTATTTTAACACTAATCAATTTAACAGTTATAACGATTCTATTCGTTGGTCCAATCCTTCTAACAACTTGCTAATATTTTACCCCCACTAAAAATCAGAACCTCTCTATATTAATACTTGCTCTTTTATTTTAAAGTATTTCATACAGATATTTTAGTTAGGCGGTATCAATTTTCATTATCTGAATATTGTTTTAGCAGAGAACAGAGTTGTTAAGAAGACTAATCAACTGATAATGATGAATGATCACCAATCCAGTCATCAGGCAAAGCCGTACGTAATGGTGCAACTATAATGTTAGTTCTTCTGTATTTCTGATAGAAACAAAAATTATTTACTCACACAAGAATTGTATTCAGAGAAAAAGTTAATGCTGTTTCTGCAACTGTACGACTTCTATTTTTTATATTAAAAACTAAAAAGTCTTTAGGGTCTCGAATAGAAACAAAATCGAAGAATAATTTCAGTTTATAATACCAACAAAATAAAGTCCTCCATCGAATTTCAAACCCTTTAATTAAGATAAATCATCCATCGAATAAAGATAAATTATATTTCAAACAAACATGACACTAAAACCTGAAATAAAAGCGATAATCAAAGATTCAATCAAATTTAGTAACAGCAGATTTACCCAGACTAATGAAATCTCATATCGTGCTATAACGGGACCATGGTTTTAAAATCACGGGGTTAAATATCTGGCGGGAAAATATGTCCTCTTAATAAACCGGCGGAAAAATAATTTGAAACTGAAAAAGAAAAGAAAAAAGAGAAGAAGAAACTAAAGAGTAAAGAGGGGCGCATGTATCAAGGCTTTTCCCACGTGAGATGTCCCCATATACGACGTCGTCTTCGCGCTACACTTTCCCCAACAAAACCAATAAAGGAACGAGAGAGAGAGAGACTTTTAACGCAATACCAATGAGCTTTTTGAGGGAATGATACATTCAATGATTTTGTACTTTGCATTTACGATAATCTTCTGAATGTAATCAACATTTTACAAATTACATGTATGACTGACAATAACCAAATCATTACAATCCTCTTATTTTAACGTTAAGCAAATTACAAATGTTAGTTCATGCAAGGAAACGATTGCTTTTACAAATTACAAGTAATTTTACTATCCATACTTACGCTCCAGTCTTTTGTTTACTTACCTGCAGTTTCGACTCCTACATGTTGTAAAATTATATGTTGTTGAAGTTTTGGAATACAAGTGTTTATAAATTGGTATATTACTCCAATGAATTGAAACCGGCAATACAATAACAATGGCTAGCATGCATACAAAAATGGTCTCAAACGACTACAATGATGAACATCAAGTAGGTTGAATAAAATAATTTTACATCTCAAGTGTATTTGATTCTCTCCCCCACACATACATAACTATGAGAATCTCGCACCTTTCCTTTATTCCTAAGTATATTGGATATATCTATTCTTCAAGATAAGTTGATATAATTAATCCCTTTTTCCGTTCTAATTTAATTCGTAATGGATTTCTTGATACAGTCTACAATACCTTCACAATGAGCCTCAGGAACAACACAGCCTGATTCTTCATTACAATCGTCGTCTTCTAGAATGGAGTGTGGAGAACGGAGGCTTCCTAGAGTCTGACAAGCCCTCATTGTCTTGCAATGTTCTGCTTCGTCATCTCTTATGTTCACAAACACATCGTATAAATTTTCTGCACATAATCACAATACAACAACAACGTTAGAGATCCTGAAATCAACACCAAAGTAAATCACAAACTGATATTACTGTTTTATCCATAAGTATGAAAAACCAAAGCTTAGTCCCTCCTAATATGTAGACTCACAACCATGGATAAATCATAAACCTTTTTAGTAATTTGTGGTTCAATGGATTCAAAAATTGAAATAATACAAAGTTAATTTGGTACCTATTGTTGGCCTTCGGGTATTGGGAGCTCTAGCTGTTTGAAACTCATCTGCAGACAAAACGGAAAGAGACTCCTACTAGTCAAAGGTAGAAAATTTGAGAACTAGAGAACATTGATAAAAACTGGAAGGACAAACTAACCAAATAAGTACAAGTCGCTTCCAGTATAGTATTTCACTGCGATATCAGGTGCAGGCGAATTCTTCAACTCCTCTGTTCAGGGGAAAAAAAAAAGCGAAGCAAAACATTCCAGATAGTAAAAATCATTGAAGAATTTGTGAGGTATTCAGCTCACTAAACCCATAAACAACTACATTACTAATGCAACTGGGACAGGAAATGTTGGAGAAAGATAAACTAAATCAGTATTGAAAATGTTGAACCAACCTCCACTGGCCTTGAGAAATTTATCGTATGTCTCATATGCATGACTCTCAACACATTCCGAAAAGTGATCTGCACGGTAACAAACAGTTAATGAGGTCATGAAGACAAGAAGTCGTCCTTTCTCTATATCATGATTTTATTCTGCTAATATCTAGAAGTCAATGAAACCTACATGCCATCCTCGGGCTTATGATATACAAGAACACCGTCATGAAGTAATAAAAGGTTGCTATGTGCTGGGCTAGAAAACGATCAAACCACCAAGAATTTCCACCCAATTCCTGTCATCAAAAACATTCGTTTGGCTCTTTCACAACTACTAGGTTAAGAGTATGAAACTCGTAGAGAAGGGAAAGTCGTGGTTCTTACTTCCATTATGAGCAAGTGGTGCATCTCATTCCAGCTCTCAGCAAAATGTACTTTCAAATAATCTGCTCTCCTCCACCAACCAAAGGTCTCATACATATGTAGCACTGACATAAAGGCTGCAAGAAGCATACATAAACTATGTTTATGTTCTAGCCAACAAGAAAAAAAATGAGATGTGATTTTCCACAAATCCTATATTTTACACAGTACGATTAGATGGCCTTTGAGGTTGGTGATGGATTATGCCTCTAATGAAATAAGGAAATGGACAAAGGTATATATATGCTTCCGAACACTATTCTGTCATTGTTCTTCTTAACACAATTCAAGTGCCTTTCACGATTCTTACTGTCTTATGACGAACACAAATCCGAATGAATAATCCTTAACACTACCCTAAACGTTTCTTGCAAGAGTATCAGAGGAACTCAAACTACAAACGGATGCGCTTACCAAAATAAGGCACTCTAGCAATTGTTTCAAGAACAAAGAACCTAGGATAGGTTCGATCACGGTACAATGTGTCAAGTATCTTAATCACCGAGTCCTGATAAAAAACAAAACAAGACAACAATTAGTTAGATGCACAGGATAATTTGAACACACAGCTGTTTGAAGATCCTAGAAAGGGTCATAAAACCTTACTGTAAGGAAGACATTCACTCCTTGCTCAAGCTTGATGATCCAAGCCTCCAGAGCACTAGTTGAAGAACTCATGTTTGGCTCCTCAAGTGGTACTTTACCAGGAAAAGTCTCGGCCTTAAACGATTCCTCCACCACAACTTTCTCTTCATCGTCTTGTAAAATCGTCGCTTGAACTCGATGAATGTTCCTGAAATGTTCAAATGATAGCACTAAGTAAAAAAACTACCCATCGAACCCTTTTCAACATTAAGTTTGACGACAAGTCGACAACAATCAAATATTTAGCTGTCGTTTTCCATCATTCAGTGCTCTAATCGAGTAGCTACCTGAAGAGCAGGCGAGGAGAAGAGAGAGGACGATGAAGAAGCAATCGGTGAGAAGTACTGTACGAAACGGCGGCTCTAGAGCGTCGAAGAGCAATCAAAGGCCGTGGGGAGATGCCTGAAATCGCCACCGTCGCTGCCATCTCCGTCAGGGAACCCAAGATTCGATCACAGGGAAGAAAAGTAAAGGTTGGAGATTTTTCGTAGGAAACGGAGAAATTTTGGAATTTTGCGGGTCTTATACGAAGAAAGGCGGTTCCCAAGGCGGGCAGATATTCTGGGTTCTCCCACTACCTTCTCATGCCCATCGTCATCGACGCGTCCAAACAAATCACGGCCGGAGATATTTCCTACCAAAGAGGATCCGATTATGTCAAATGATCCGACCCGGTTTATGTTAACTTATGGGCTGAGGCCCAAATATTGGGACACGTCATGACTTTAAACTGATTTTCTAGCCCGTGAAAGTTACTACCATTTTGAACTACTACTGCCTGACTAGGAACTGATAGTTGATCCCGTGAATTCAATGACGTTTGTAATTTTCACAAACAACCAAAAGAAAAATTACGATATTCGTATTGAATATTAAAAACGACTTTTGAGGATATTAACAACTAAACGATAAAACAAAGAAAAAATAGACTAGGGGCACATATTTATGGCTGGTTTGTTTTTAGCACATTGAAGAGTATTTTAGCCTTTAGCTCAATTTTTTTTTAATTTAAAAACTGACTTTTCAAAATCAAATACGACAGATTAAAACCAAAAAAAAATGAAAGTACCAGAAAAAGCCTGGAACTGATAAATGCAAGGGGATATATGTCATCTGTTTCTCTGTCAATTTGTATTTTTGACCATATCTTTTTTTGCCGGCGTGTTTAAATATATTTTTGTTTGTAACTAAATCAGCTGGAGATTACTCACCAGAACGTCATATAGAGTCAAATACAGTAAACACCTCCCCCCTTTAATTATGTAAACCATTTTGACCATTACACTGCTCTACTAGACCATTTAAAACTATTATTATTTTTGATATCAAACAGAAATGAAAAGGCACTCAGTGGTTATTTTTTACTAATTTTCAGATATTATGTGGTTTCACTTTTTTTGGCTGTTGGAAAGGCTGCCTTTTCATTTCTGTTTAATATCAGAAATAATAATAAGTTAATACGTGTGTGTTTCAAGTTAAACATATAAATTCAACTTTACTACTATTTAAACAGATTACAGGTGGCTTTCAATACCAGAAATCGCCGCGACTTTATTTTATTTTATTTTGCCTCTATTTTTTTTGTTTCACCAAAAAATTCCGCGAAATCTCTGAAAAAAATCCCCCAATTCCGAAATCACCCTTTCATGGAGAACACATCGGAGCAAGGATCTCGGGAACATCTGATCCACCGGGAGACCCGACCAAGCGCGATCAACAAACCGCCGGAGTTTCATGCGTCGCGGTTCACCTTCATGAGCATCGTGCTCTGGTTTGACCAGTCGAATCGCGGCACGGCTCTGCTCTCGTGGTCCGTCTTCTTCCTCCTCGTCGTCGGCGTACCGATGATCTCCCACTTCATGCTCGTCTGCTCCGACTGCGATTCCTATCACCGACGTCCGTACGACGCCGTTGTACAGCTTTCTCTTTCGGTTTTCGCCGGAATCTCGTTCGTTAGCCTCTCGCTTTGGTCGAGGAAGTTTGGGATGCGAAAGTTTCTGTTCCTCGATAAGCTCTGGGATGTTAGCGACAAGGTTAGGATCGGATACGAAGCTGAAATCCAGGTTAGGATCTCTGCTAGTTTTTAATTATTGATTAAAATCTATTAACCGATTTATAATCGTTGCTAAATTCGAAATTAGAGAGACGATAATAAACCTAAAAATTCAGGAAACTATGAACGTTTAGCAAGTACCAACTATTGTACGATTACGTATACGATGTGATGGAAGCAATTAATTGATATATACTATATTAGTTATTAATTTTCAGTCTCTTTTTTTTATTCCAGAATTTAATAAACTTAACGCACGAGTAATCAATTTTCTAATTTTGTTTTCAGAAATACATTTGACTATTTTAAAAGTTTTGAACTGCCACTAATTTCTGTTTCCGTATCATTTTCGTGTTCCTATTACCCGCAGATTTAATTATGGATAAAAAGAATCTAAATTTTGAATCTTGATTGATATTCTTTCAGAAAAAGCTTGAATTGATTGTAAAAAAAAAATATCTGGTACCAAAAAAAAATTGACAATCTTTATTTCTCTAGCCGACAATTTTCGTTTTTTTTTTTTGGACTTGTTTGGCTAAAGTGTGACGTGACCGCTACAATTTTTGTTTTTTCCTATTTTTGTTTAAATAAAAATTCATCATTAGCTAAATTTAAAAAAATTCCGACCTGCCGGAATCGAACCAGCGACCTAAAGATTAGCTGTCACAGACTACAGTCTTCCGCTCTACCAACTGAGCTAAGGTCGGATATTGTTCTCATTCGATTCTTTTTATTTTATTAATAAACTCTTTTCCTCTGTTTCTTTGTTGATGACGCAGAGATCACTGAAACGGCTAATGATCTTCGTCCTCCCATCACTAACACTCGAAGCCATCTACAGAATCTGGTGGTACATCTCTGGCTCAAACCAGATTCCTTACATCATCAACCCTGTTCTAAGCCACGTCATCGCATGCACTCTCCAGCTCTCTTCTTGGCTTTACCGTAACGCCATCTACATCACCGTCTGCATCCTCTACCAAATCACATGCCATCTTCAAACTCTCCGTCTCGACGATTTCGCACGCTGCTTCGCCTCCGAGATCACCGACGTTGGCTCAGCTCTGGCCGAGCATCAAAAGATCCGTCGTAATTTGAGGATTGTTAGCCATCGTTTCAGGAGATTCATTCTTTTGTCTTTGGTTCTTGTTACTGCTACTCAGTTCACTGCTTTGCTTACCACCACGAGAGCTAGTGTTGCTGTTAACATCTATGAAGTTGGCGAGCTCGCGGTTAGAGTTCTCTTTTAAGTACCCTTTGGTTGTAGTCACATTGGTATCAATACTAATCAATGTCTTTTGTGTTCTGTTTTTTTTTCACAGTTGTGTTCGTTGAGTTTGGTTACAGGAGTGTTCATATGTTTGAGAAGTGCGACGAAGATAACTCACAAAGCTCAATCTGTAACCAGTCTTGCAGCTAAATGGAACGTTTGCGCAACTGTAGAATCGTTCGATAGTCTTGATGGAGAAACTCCTACAGCTTCAATGATTGAGTCTCAAATCTCGCCATGTGGAAATGGGATGGATTCATCTGATGAAGAAGGAGAAGGAGACGATGATCTCGACAATACCAAGATACATCCTATCTACGCCAATACCATTTCTTATCAAAAACGTCAAGCTCTAGGTAAGAAAGATTTGTTTTCTACATTCAACAACTTATAAACCCTTCTAGTCCACAAAGTTGATTTATTTCGGATTCTTGAAATTGTTATGTTTTGCAGTGACATATCTAGAGAACAACAGAGCTGGGATCACAGTGTATGGATTCCTTGTGGATAGATCATGGCTGCATACGATTTTCGGCATTGAACTTGCTCTTCTTCTTTGGTTGCTCAATAAAACAATCGGTATATTGCCTTAAAAAACCGGTTTCTCTTTGTTTCAACAGAATCTTCTTTTGCCAAAATTTTTAACTTCTTCTCTTGTCTTTGGTTTTTGAACAGTGAACATACCATGAAATAAAGTGGTTTATAAATACAATACACATATAGGATTGAATCGTTTTGGCATTATGTTTCTTTCGAAGATATGACGAAGAGCAGTAGAGATTTTTCACGGTGGTGTGGCGATGATATATATGTCTCTCTTTCTCCTTATTTGTTTTGACTACAAATCTAGATATATGACAACTAATTTTGGTTCATCGATAGAGACAAACATGTACGTGATTATAAATATATATATATAAATACTATGTATCTTTCTGTATAGAAGTCTGATATGTTTTGAATGTATCTTTCTGTATAGAAGTCTGATATGTTTTGAGTTCATTTGAAGATATGAATCGAAGTCAAAGTTACTGACTCTATGTATGTTTACTAGTGTAGAATGATGAATAAAAATTCGCAATACGTTTAATGTCGAATGCTCTATGGGAATCGGTAGGCCGATTCTACAGAGAGTTGCACACAATTGACACCAAAAGAAACTTTTATTTGTGAATTGAAAAAGTAACTGCATAACAGGCTTAAACATTCAGCTAGGAGATAACAAAGTTTTGTTTTCATGCATTAACTTAGACTTTTCTGGAAAAACGTTTTCGAGGTCTTGCTTTCTCGCAAAACATAATCTTGATATTGCACTTGGAAGATCTAGGAATCTTGAGCAGATCTTTGGTAATACGAGACTTTTCCTTGTCGTTTGTTGCATATGCAAGAACTTTGACGAGCTCAAGTGACGACGACAGTTTCTCTAGGAAAAGCTTCATTTGCTCTAGCTCACCAGTTTCTCCTCCATACTCAGTTATCTTCAATACTTTCACGGGACATGACGATCCATAATCATATTCTCGTTCATATCTATCAACGAACAATGTACCCTTAAAACACAAGAGCAAACGTTAGAAGACGTTTGAGTTTTTCATCTAATACATTTTCGGGTTATAATAATTACCTTGATGACGAGTGTGTGTAGATTTGGAGATTTTCCTACAAGTATCGGCAGAAACTCCCAATCGTCGTCAGGGAAATCAATTGTAATAGTTAAACGAGACAGGTTGATGAACACAGGGATTACTTCACGGAACATACAAAACATCTGAAATAAAAAATATCTTGCATGTAACAATATATATATCTTACAGAGAAATTAGAAAAAGAGAGAAGAGATGATTCTGTATTTACCTCCCAAGTACGAACAGATAATATCTCCAAGAACTCAACATTTCTTAACTCCTTGATGAGATTTGTTGGATTGCTAGACAATGCCTCTACATGGAGATCAAGCTTAGCTTCAACAAGGGACTCAAGATTCACAACTGTTAACGCTCTTGGAACTAAATCAGAGTATTCCAAGTAGACAAGACTGGGAGTGTCGAAAGTAATGTCCCAATAATCAAGAGCGTCACAAACCTCGATAGTAAGCTTCTTAAGTGTCGAAGAGGACACGTTGGGGCAACATTTCCCATTCTGCCATCTCGCACTACGAGTGGTTAGTTCCTCAAGCAAAGGGCAAGAAGAAAGAAGCTTCTCCAAAACACAGTAACCACTGTTGTAGAAATAAACCGATTCAAGATAGAGAGTCTTGAGCGATGGAAGAGAAACATCACTATCAGGAATCATAGCGTCGAATCCTTTTGTTAGTTTCAGCTCAACAATTGTATTGCAAGTGAAGATCTCGAGAGGCATCAAAACCACATCATCAGCGATTACTTCTATATCAAGATACTGAACGCCAAGTTTCAGAACGTTAGTCAACCAGCGAGTGACATGACCAGTGTCGTCTTCGACACTCTTTCGACATTTTATGGAGATACTCTTCTTTAGGGTTAGTGGGAGATCGTTTGACACAGCCAATACTCTGTCCACAAAATCGATGAAGTCTTCTCCATGATCACTAACTTGGTGGTGATCGTCTAAATGAAGGTTTGGCGTCAAGACAAAGAGATTACGCCATCGCTTTGAGAGGACAGATGTTAAAGCAGCTTCTTTTGTCGGAAGGTAAGAGAGAATGTGGCAGATGATATCATCTCCTAGACCGTTGATCGTATCCATTTTTTTGCACGAGGAAATTGAATATTTTTCAATATGATTTTAGAAACATAATCTTATACTAAAAATTCGATTACTAGTAATTACTATGGCTAGGAATTTCCATGTTGGTATTATTAGATGTAATTTGATATTTTTGAAAAATATCTAACAAAATGTAACAAAATATGGCTTTTTAACAAACATGTAATGTAGCACGAGAAGGAAAAATAAACTGGAAATGGAAATATGTTATTCTTTCTTCTTAACCAAATATCTTAGCAGGTTCAAAGGATGTATATGATATGGGTTTTCGTTTTCGATCGTATCAGGTTCCGTTCTTGATAAGCTATGTCAAATCAAAACTTACTAGCATCTATAAATATAGTTTATAACTATCATTCTCCTTCAAGTTCAGGTAACACTTCTAATTATAACAGACCCAAGAATGCGAAAGTTAGCATCGAGCATTTTCGAATGAGAAACCTTTTTGGTTCGTTTTCAGTTTTCTCATTGTTTTTTTATCAAACTTAGTTAAAACACTGATAACACTACTGTAGCAGTGGGAATACTTCTCTCTCGTGATGCAGTGAAACGTGATAATTATTTGAACTGAAAATAGCATTTACAATTTGGAGCTTTATGTACACAAACATAAACCCCATAGAAGAAGGGGCAAAAAGAACAGAATTAATAGAGAAACAAAAAAAAGCTAATAGGATCATCGCAAAAGGTAAAACCAATTGGTTTACTTTTTGAACCAATTTGGCTTCCTCCTCTCATTCCTCTCTTCTTTCTTCAGTCTCTGAGCCTAACTCTTAAGCATTTATAAAACTGAATATCGGGCAAAAGAAGCATTACATACATATTGCTGTTTGGATTCAGACAGGGATGACATCAGCGTTTTGATTATCGTCGCAGGTGATGATTAGGCCATCTGCATAAGTCGGGAGGAGGCAGCGCCACCACCGGCAGCCACTGGAGACTGCTTCTGCCGGAGGAACTATCATCAGAACGTTGTCGTGCCTTCTCACCATTCCCATCACGCTCACCGTGCTTCCTTCTTTTATGTATCTGATCATCACACACAATCATATATGATCAGCAACAAAATAGGGTTGTCTCTTTAATTGCAAATGTGAAATCAGTGAGCTTTCCTTGTGTGATGAGAGCAGCCAAAAAGATCCTTTGTACTAAAAAAGTTGACTTTTGCGTCTCACTAGCATTAGTCCCTAATTCAACCTTCTAAGCTCAGACTTATCAAGCACTGATATGAGACGTTCAAAGCCGTTTACGTTGACAAAAAAAGTTAATGGATTTCTACCCAAAGCACATGTTTCATCACATTTTTTTCCATTCTTGTGACTTTTGATGTGGACGAAAGCTATAAGTACCAGTCAAAGTAAACGCCTACATCAACAGTTTGAGAGTAAAAACTTCCAATTCTACTCAAACTAGGGTCTAAAAGGTCGTATCTTGGGTAGTTTTAAGTCAAACCAGGAATCCAAAGTTTGGATAGTGACTCTAATAAAAGACTCATTTTTAGTTTTTGTCTAGGATACTTAGTAAGAAGAAACTAAGATGCACGTGGAACATAGCATACCCTTCTTTGAGACGCATGACACGGTTATCAGCTGAGAGGTTGCGGTCCGATAGCCACTTTAGGAAGCTAGGAGATAAATCTTTGTTCTGAGTCGTAACATTAGCCACTGTCGCTGGTTTGACAAAAGGAGAAACTTTTGATCCATATCCTGCTTTTACTAACGCCCGCAATCCAGATTGGAAATCTGAGATGTAGAAATCCGAAACATATTTCTGCCAAAGAATACAACCCACCAACAACAAAAATCATCAGACTTAATCATACAAGATCTGAAAAACTTGACCAAATCTTTGTCCTAGTCACACTCTTGAGACAAAGATCAATACAGTTCTTCACTAGATGGAATCAGAAACTAACCTCTGCATGTCTAGATCCCCATGAAAAGCATCGATGTTTTGGGTTTGCGGATCTTCCACCAAGACCTTTGTACTCGTACAATTCCGTGGATACATAAACGCATCTTGGTGTTCTTTGGTATGAAGACTCCAGAGGAATGCTTCCACATGTTACAACCTACAAACAAAACAAAAACTTTTAACACTTCAATCAAACAAGTAATACACCATTGAAGTTGTTAATGCAATCTACAATACAAATGGACAAATTTCTTTAAAAGACTATTATAATCAAACATGGAAGCAAATGAAGTTGCTTTAGACAACTATGCAAAAACACAAGTAGCAAACATTAATTTGGTGAATGAGCTTTTAACAATTTAAAATTTCAAACACAGACAAAAAGAAAAATCATCATAAAGCACCCAGAAACATAGTGGAGCAAAAACAAAAATTTAATGAAGCTAATTTGACATCAAACAGATCCAACAGTATAACATCCATACGAAAAGCCAAAGCCAATGATAATGACATTCTAACTCACCAAATATATAATTTATCAAAACCCATTTAGGGAAGCCAAGTTTGGTTAACCACAAGTACAATTAAGTTACTAAATCTGGAATTTAACATTTTGACATTTTGAAAATTACTTACCCCTGTAACCTTGACGAACTGTCCATCAATGGCGCCTCTAAGCTCAGCATCTGGATACTTCTTGATGAAACTCAACAAACCTTTTCTTCCCCAAACACAATTCCACACCAAAACCACGACGGCGGGAATAACCGCCGCTAAAACCGCCGCAATAACCACCGGCTTCTTCACCGCCACGGTTAAAAACGCCCCAACGAGCAATCCCATCGCCGCCACAATCAGCAACGCCCAAACAACCGTCTTGGGAACTTTAAACCCGACCCGAACCGGGTCGGTACTCAGACTCGTCACCGACGACCCGTATTTAGGCTTGCTGGACCCTAGATTACTCGTCTGGTGGTCCAATTGACCCGACCTCCTAGACCCGGACCCAATCGGACCCGACGAACCGAGAGAGCCAGAGGTTATTAAACCGGTTGGCTGAAGCTGAGAGAGTGGACCCGAAAATTTCTTAACCGAGCCGGAGTTTGGTCCGGATCGAACGGATCCACTGTTAGGGTTTGAAGACGAACCGGAGACACGTGGCGGCGCTTGCAGCCTCGATGCTCCGCCGCTGCTATTGCCACCGACGATGAGCGGCGGTGGTCCTTGGAAAGAGGCGGAATCGACGACGGAGATGTCGAACATCCTTCCGAGCTCGCCGGATTTCTTTATGTCGCCTCCAGTGTAAGGCACAGCACGAGCCGCCATTGTCGGTGGTCGCTCTTTAGGCTGCTCGAGCTTTCCCGAAACGTAGAGTCCATTAGGCAGCTGGTGTGATTGGATCCGACTTGCCATTTCTAGAGAGAGAGAGCAGGGAAATGCAGAGAACTTTACTCTTTGAGTGCTACAGAAGAGAGAGAGAGAAGTTGCGCGTGTAGGTGTGAGTGGCAGTGAAGGTGGAGAGAAAGAAGAAGGACGAAGGACACGAAATGACGAAATCGGGTTACTGAGGATACTGTTATTACGAGTTTGCCACTGAGTCTCCTATAAACAGGCGATTGCGTAATCTTTGAAGTAGCCAGCTTTTAGTTAGAGGTTTCGTTTTTGATTGGTTCAATTTGTAACAGTAATCCCCTACAATAGTTGGCGCTTTTTTTATTTTACACTTTTTTCCATCTTTGTTTCTATAATTTACCAAATTACCCATTATATTTGTTTCTCTTTCAGGAAAGTACCCTTTTGAAATTTAGGCTAATTTTGATACATCAACTAACTTTAATTACATAAAACTTTTAATCTTTTCATATCGACCAAGGAAAAAGAAGACTATACTGGAACTATATATTTGGCTTTAACTTGGCTAATGCAATAACAAAAATGAATAATTCCATCTCATGTGAGATCTTCAGAACAATTTTGGACTATGGTCTTTGTATAGATCACACACACACACACAAAAAACAGTTATCAAATGTCCAATATCTTTGCCTCGAAATTGGCACGGCGAAAAGTGTTGCCTTTGACACTTGTTACAATACTTCAAAAGCGAATTTCCTATAGAAGAAAACAGTGAAATGTCGAAATGTTTGTTAGTATTATATTATTTTGTTGTAAAAGCAGATTATTAGAGTTTTGTTGTTGGAGTCACAAGAATTGATAGATTCGATTGTAGTTAACAATACAAATAATAGACATCTCTTAGGTAGGACCATCTCCAATGCCCCAGCGTTTCAATATGATCATAATAAGTTCATACACGACTAGAGTAAATATTAGGATATATTATACATATTCTATAGATTGTAAATTTCATAATAAGTTCATTACTGTTTTACTTGCACCACCCGTGATTTATGTGTAAATAAAGCTAGTTGCATTGTTCGACAAAAAGAAGAAGAATAATGCTAGTTTGCATTTTAAATACCAAATGATAGCAATAATTGAAGTAGTATAAAATATGCAGTACGTTACAAATGTAGTTAGTAGACTGAGATATTGTATCAATCTATTTTTAATATTTTCAGGAATAATTATGATTATACAACACAAATTTCTATGTTCTTAAAGTTATGATTGAGCTGGAGCAGTGAAGCGTTTAGAAAGAATAATTTCTATATATAAACCACTTGTTACATTTAAAGCCGATGATAATACATCAGTTTGATGATTACTCTTTTCCACTATAAATAATCCCATCAAGTAATATCTGCAATCTTGGATAATAATTTTTTTTATGAATGATGATTAGTTGTGTTTAATGATTGATTTAAGGTTTAGGGGTTTCCTAAATTCACTTTTCCTGTCAATTTCCTTAAACCTTATTCAATATTTTAACTATTCTTTTTTGCAATGTATTTAGATCCGAGCAATTGGAAAACTGTTGAACAAAAAGATGTCTATGCATGGATTCTTTTCTTGGTGCCAGTCTAGCTAGTGTCAGGATTTGTATTGATCGAGGGGTAATTGTGGGAAATCACATGCAGTCGGTGGGTGAAACTGGTTGAATCCAAAGAGATAAATATGTGGGCGAAAATGGGAATTCCATGTCTAGACTAAAATATCCCTGAAATCTCAGTAGACCATGCAAACTCATCTGGATTCTCGTCTTGTCTTCTGTCGGATCAAATAATAGTTCACTATTATCTCACTATTTAAATCATTTTTAAACTAAGATATCGACAGAGGAAAAAATAAAAAAAAACTAAGATATCGACATATGATGAAACTTTATTAAATCGATCTTTTTTTCTTCCAATAGATCTTTACATTCTTACTGTTAAAAACGGGAAAAAAACTTAAAAAACCCTCAACTATTTAATATTTGTCAGTTTCCTACCTGAATTTTTTGCGTTGCCAGAAACTTTTATAAACTAATTTTTTGGATCAAAAAACTACCCAAAATCCTTTATAGTTCTAGTTTTCACCCCACGATTTCACGGCCGTTAACGGTCAAACGGAATTAGTAAACTCCGTTATTTTCTAAAACAAAAAAAAAGCTGAAAAATCCCTCAACTATTTAATCTTTGCCAAAAAAATACTTGAACTTTTATTGTTGCGAAAAACCCACATTAGCTAATTTTTGTTTTTGTTTTTTGAGTTAAATGACACTAAAAACCAAAATATCAAAGAGTTTACAACAACTAAAAACAAAGTTATCACCAATAGAATTCGAAATAAATTACGATATTTTTTTTTGAAATTAGGATATATTTATGACTAAAGATTCTGTAGATGAGTGCTTCATTTTATTTTTGGGCTGATTTAATCTCCACTAAGATGATCTTCGTAGATGATTAAAAATATCTATCACATTTTATCTCCGTTGATTACCTACTAATTTATATTTATTAATCTATTATGAGCCATTGAAATCATTCTTCGAAAGAGTCGATTAGTTAGGAACTTATATTCAAATCGTCTTTCGAAATAAATATTGTATACGATGAGAAACAAACCAATATCAAATAAATAACCATCAGTGAATGAATCTGGGGAGAACCATTAATGGATGTGAAGTAATGAGGTAAAAGTTAAAACCGTATAATATTTCAGATTTTTTTTTTTTTGACACTGAAAAATTAGCTTGTGTGGGTTTTTGGCAACATTAAAAGTTCATGTATTTTTTTGACAAATATTAAATAGTTGAAGGTTTTTTTTAGTATTTTCTTGTTTTGGAAAATAACAGAGTTTACTAATTCTGTTTGACCGTTAACGGCCGTGAAATCGTGGGGTGAAAACTAGAACTATAAAATATTTCAGGTAGTTTTTTGATCAAAAAATTAGTTCATGTAGATTTCTGGCAACGCAAAAAGAAATTGACAAATATTAAATAATTGAGGGTTTTTTAAACTTTTTTCCCTTTTTCCCTTTTCCCTGTTAAAAACTATGATCTGAACTATTATCTTCCTTTTTACGTTTAATATTTTTCCACTTACGGAACATCATTTTCACAAAAAATTTAAGACTACTACTTGATGGCCATTTGCCCGACATAGATCATAGATGGTATATCAATTATTAATTTGAATGAACGTAAGCAATTACTAAAAGATTTGTATCTTTTGTTTGACGACAAAAAGAAAGATTTTTGTTTTTTTCTCTGGTTTATTACAGATTTTAAATAACCAATCTACTGTTTAGAGAAGAAAAAAACTTAACACAGATAAATACGAGTTCTATAGTCACTTGTATTAGTTCCTGATGTGCTGAATGAATAAATAAACATATAGGGGATAGAGAGTATTCCAGTGTTGGCATGATGTTATTCAAAATCATACAAATCACAAAATGTATGTACTGTATTGTATTTTAAACATTCTATAAGCAAACTAGACCGTTTTAACCGAGACCGGTTTTCACAACCAGGCGATGAATGATCTGAAGTTATCCGTGTTGTTCTTTTGATGTTGATAGGAAAAAAATGTTACAATGAGCGCAATGTTGGTTATTAAAGCATTTAAGGAAAAGAAGAAGAAGATGAAGAACTCTGCATCCGTTGTTTGATCCATGACTCTAAGTATTGAAGCTCCTTATTACTGATCGAGTGCCCGAGATCCGGATAAGCCTGCAGATAAATCGATTCTCTTCAGATTTTACACTCGCAATAATTGGTTTATACGATCAGAACATGATCGTTTGATTTGATATGATTATTACTGTTATTGTACCTTGAATTCACAAGCCACACCAGCTTCTTGAAGAAAAGGAAGAGCTGCTTGACCAGCTTCAAATAGTACAGTCTTGTCATCAATGCCATGAGACCACAAGATTGGTGTCTGCATATGCAAATTCTGGAGACTCAGAAACCCAAGAAACATTGACGGATAAATCGAACATATATACAAGAAACCAAAAAAACACAGGTGAAACCTTTTTAGCATCTTCGGTAAACTGATTAATGGTTGAAGAATTGAATGGAACCCATCCGCTAAAGACTGCACCTCCTCCAAGAGCTTTTGGGTAAAGAAGAACACTGGCCAAGGTTAATGCCCCTGCAAGAAACGCAATGCAAGAAACACACTGTAGATTTTCAGCTCATTTTAAACAAAAACTGAAAGGTAAATCAACACATTGTAAATTTTCAGATCAACTTAAACAAAAATGGAAAGGAAAATCCACGGCTAAAGGGAGGCAAAGAGTGATCACCTCCTTGGCTGAATCCACAGATATACACATTTTCAGGATTTATCCCTCCTGCAATCTCCTTATCTATAATGGCATGAACGTCCTTAACTGCTCTAAGCACGCTGCTTTCATCATTCGGAGAGCCCTAACACAAAAAAGTTACATACTTGGTGACACAAAATATCTTTGAATACAATCCTACCAATGCAAGAACGGTCTGTAATCTGTTCTATAACTTCTTTAAGACCGCACCTTTAATCATTCGGAGAGGCCTAACAAATAAAAGTTACATACTTGATGACACCAAAACTATCTTTCAAAGCAATCCTAACAATGCAAGAACGATCTGTTCTACTAAGAAAGTGATTATTGGCCAACTATAAACCAAGCTACAAAGGGCTGTAGCCTGTAGAGCTACCAATTTAGAAAGTATTGCCAAGTCAATATCATGAGAAATGTTAGATAGACAGAGACGTGTTACCGCGGTAAGAGGAAGCTCACGGATGTCAAACCAAGAAGGCATCACCATACCATCTGCACGAAAGGAAAAGACATAATCATTACCAAGGAGCTAAGAGTTTCTTCAGGATCTTTTTTAGACTCTTGTGTGTATTATCTTTACTTCAATTTTGTGTACTGCATCTAGCAATCTCTTTGGCATATAGCTCAAAGTTTTACATAAGTGGCAATCGTGAACTACCCATCAGAGGCAAATCATGCTACATTCCAAATTCGTAATCAGATTCCCACTATGCAATCCCGATAAGATCATAAACCGTGATCGAAACCTGGAGAAAAACGAAATTTGATAGCACCAACCATGATCCCCAAAATCAGAAACTAAAGGTCAAATCGTACAATTGCAGGAGACTGGATTTGATGGAGCAGAAGGGAAGAGCCACTTAGTGTTCCTAAACTCCGGGGACTTGAAAATCGTCTTGATGGGTTCGTTCGCTGGTCCGGAATCTCCAAGCCCGTGAAGCCACAAGATGAAGGTTCGAGCCATGGGGTCTGAGTTCCGCGAAGAAGAGATAGCAGAGGGAGATGATGAGTAATGTTTGTTTTGGGAGAAGGTTACGAGGAGGAAGAAGACAGTGGTCAATAGTGCGATCGTGAGAAGAACGATTGGTTTCTTCAGTGTACTTGTTCGCATGCCTTCACCATTATATCTGGAGATCTGTCAAAGTTTTCTCCCGAGTTCTTCACAGACTTTTGAGAAAAAAATGGTTAACAAAAAAAATGCAAGGAGAAGATGACTAAATGACTAAAATACCCTCAATGCCAAAATATACCAAAATTTTCTTAGTTTTTGGCTATGTTCTGTTCCTTCATTTATGAAGCAATTTCTATTAGAACATCTCCAATCTATAACTGCATATTTTTTTTCTATTTTGGAGTAATTCTAAAATGAAAACTCCATTTTTTTCTCCAAAATTGAGTTATGACAAAAAAATTAGAGAAATTATATTTTTTGCTCCATATTTTGGAATAACTCTATTTTTTATTCCATTTTGAGTGAGAATTAGAATAGGGTTAGAGAGAATCTTGTTGCAAATTCTATTTTGCAGTGAAATTTGGAGTAGAATTGGAGATGGTCTTACAAAGATTTTTTACATGTTAGAGCATCTCCAACCCCAATATTCTTATTGAGGTTCATAGGGTTTTTTAATACATATATTTTTTTAAAAAAATAGTGATGAATCCCAACTAAATTTTCACCTCCAACCTTAAATTCTTGTTTGGGTTCATCAGAATAAAATATTCATTTTTTAGATTTTTTTTTTTAGATATTCGATTTATTTGTGAAATATTTTTAAATGGTTTTAAAATAAATTTATCAGTTTTTAAAATAAATTTATCAGTTTTTAAAAGTAAATTTATCAGTTTTTTGTCTTTCATTATTTCTTTCTTAATAGTTTTTTTGTTAAAAATTCTTCAATTTCTTAGGGGGTGTTATTCAATCATAGTTTTTAATAGAATCTAAATCCATCCACAATTGTTATTCAATAATTGATTTTAATTTCTCTATAAAAATCCAATATTATTGGTTCATGTATTTACAATCTCTTTATTAATAGAGTTTGAAATCCATTGTTATTCAATTAAAGAGTTGAATAAGTCAATTAAATCTTATATTATTCATATTTAACAGATTTTTACAACTGATTTTAGGTGAATGATTTTAACTGAATTTGAACCTATTTTTATGTGTTAAATGTAGCAATCAAAATCTAACCATTTATCCTTAGATTTTGATAATTATAAAATTCAACACAAATAATTATTAACCTTCGTTTTTTTTTCTTCCTTCCATGTATTAATCAATCAATACATCACTCTTTCATCCCTCCATTTTTTTTTCCTCCATTTTGTCTTTTCATTCCTCACACGTCTTTTTTTTTCCTTGTTCTATTTTTTTATTTCTCTCTTTTCCCTAACACATATCTCTCTCATTTCTCTCTCTCAAGTCATCAAGAAAAGATAATATCTTTCTAGATTAGCAATCATAATTTGTAATTTGTGAAGAAAATGTTTATTATGTTGGATTCAAATCAATATGGAGTGAATGTGAGTTTTTTTCTTAGATTGCAATTTTTTCTTATTATGTTACTTTTTTCTTTTGATTTTTTTTCTTACATATGTGGTTTTAGGTTGTTTTTTTTTTCTTTGATCTTTTTAAACCCCAAAATTATTGAGAATTCTATTCTATTAGATTTTAAATGATAGCATGTGACTTTTTAAATACACGGCTAAATAATATAAAATTTTAAACAACTCATATACATTATATTCTAAATGAATTAAAAAAATTTAAGGGGGTGTTATTCAATAATGAGTTTAAAATGAATTTTCAAAGTTTTATAATTTTTTAGATTTAGAATTTGATATCAGTTTTATGGATTCATTTGTTTTTATTCTAAAATCTCTGCAATACACATTAGATTTTGATTCTAATAATTTACTCATAAAACTCTATTGGAACTAATTTGAAATGACTTAATATACAAAGATTTTAAAAATCATTTTGTTTTGAATAACACTGGATTTTTTATGAAAGATTTGAAATCTTCATTGAATAACACTAAACTTTAAAATCTCCTAAACATGATTTACAATGAAGAGATCTAATAACATTGGATTTTAAAACATCATTTAGAATCATTAGTTGAATAACAATGGATTATGGTTGGATTTAAATTGTATTAAAATCTGATTGAATAACACCCCCTAAAATTTGATCTACTCTAATCTAGTGGAGTTGATTACAACATACAGATTGAATAACACCCCCTTAATGTTTTTTGTTTGCATTTCAAAAGACCTAGACAAATGTACAAACATGCATCTATATATGTAAAATGATAAAAGACAAAAAAACTCATAATTGAAAAACTACACAAGTGGTGTCTCACATTACGTGTGGGCAGGGCCCATAGCTGAGACACATGAAACATTGACTTCAGGGCAGCCTATAAAACTCTAATTTTTGGGACAGCAAAAAAACTCAAAATTTATTTTATAAGTATGTGTAAATATTTTATCCCACAAGACCAAATATTTTATAAATAAGAGTCATTATCCCTATCAAATATTTTATAAAAAATCGATTCTAGCTTATAAAAATTGATTTTAGGCTTCAAAAAATCGATTTTTGGTTTCAAAAAATCGATTTTGGCTTCAAAAAATCGATTTTGGACTTCAAAAATCGATTTTAGCTTCAAAAAATCGTTTATGGGCTTCAAAAAATCGTTTCTGGGCTTCAAAAAATCGTTTCTAAGCTTAAAAAAAATTGATCTTAAGCTTAAAAAATAATTTGGGCTTAAAAAATCGATCTTAAGCTTAAAAAATTGATTTTAAGCAGAAAAAATTGATTTTAAGCAAACAAAAGTTTTTTATCCTCTTATTTCAAAAACGTTTTGGTATGTTTTGGATTATTAGAGAATATGCCACAAAAAAAAATTTCGATTAAGGGCATCATTTTTATCCGATGCTTTAGGCGTCAAATCACTTTGGGCCGGCCCTGCGTGCGGGCATAACAAATTTTATAAAATTGTTTAAGTTCGATATTGTATATTTGTTTTTTTCCTTTAACTGGAAAACTTCCAGACTAAAAATCTTTGATTAATACATTGAGATTCATATTTTACAGACTTTCTTTCCATTAAAAACGTCTACAGGATGAGTACAGTCATACCAAAAGAAAAACGTTAAAAAAATTATCTTCCCACATCGATCAATAATATGCCGTTAGCTGTCTGATGATATTCAGGTCATACAGGTTCAACAAGATGAACACAGTTATACGGGTTCATCAAAATTCAGCTTATTTTTTAATTTAAAAAAAAAAAAAATAAAGGCCTCACTTGTGATACCCAACTCATACTCCGTTCGAGATGCTCTTATGCCGTAAATTTGGAGCAATGTTATGGAGAGTTTGCTCTAAATTTGGTTCATATTTTATTGAATTTGGCCTAAGAAAATGATTGTTTATTATGTTTGATGGTTCTAATTAACTGGGACTGGGAGTTTTGTTTTTAGGAACATGCTTGAAGGATCTAAAATCATTACACAACCTAAAACCATATTAATTAACAAAACAAAAATAACACAGTTACTTTGATAACAGATACGGGGACGAGAACAGGGGCGAAAAATGATCTTCTAATGTATTGTAAGCAAGGATGGTAAGAAAGAAGCCAACGATTTCAAGTGGGTGATGACTCTAATAGTTCCCTTTTAGGATCGTTGCATATATAAAGTCACACACCTAGTATTATATCATGGGCCTAATCGAGCCCATTTAGGATTCTTGCATATAAAGTCAGTGGACATCCAGGAAAAACAAGACCCCGAAGTCTAGGGTTTCGTTCGTTTTAGAGCTCTGAAGAAGCGATTCTAGGGTTTGTAAAATCGGCCATGAAGTTACGCTCTTCGAAATCGGCAAGAGGATACTCAGACCCAATTCCGGTTGATCTACTCATCGATATATTCTCTCGAGTTTCGGGAAAGTCTGTAGCTAGGTTTCGTTGCGTATCGAAATTCTGGGCATCCATACTTCGTCGTCCTGATTTCACTGACTTGTTTCTGACAAAGTCTACAACTCGTCCACGCCTCTTATTCGCCTCCTTAGAAGCAAATGCCAAGATATTCTTCTACTCTTCACCTCAGCCACAAAATCCAGATGAGAACTCTTGTCAAAAAAACTCTGGTCTTGTAGCCACCCGTTATTATAAGTCATTTCCCGAATACGTTCCATCTAGTTACAGGACTCAACAGGTCTGTGGATTGGTCTTTCTTCAGAAATGGAACAGAAAGGTGAGGGTGATTTGTAACCCTGCCACGGGACAGTTCCTAACCTTACCAAAAGTGCTTTTAAAAGAGAAAAACTTACCCAAAGAGAAAGCTAAGATCAGTAACCCCACGAAGATTACAATAATGTATCTTGGTTATGATCCGATCGGCAAACAGTTCAAAGTGTTGTGTATGACTATGACCTCGTCATGTGATGAAAGACTCAATACTCATCAGGTTTTGACATTGGAGACTGGAAAACGTTTATGGAAAAGGATCGAACAAAGATTCCGTTTTATTGGGAATAAGAGAATGTGTAATGAAGTATGCATAAATGGTGTTTTGTATTTCGGAGCTAGGTTGGGACGATCTTCCGTGATAGTTAGCTTCGACATTAGGTCTGAAAAGTTCGGTTTTATAAACACAAATGAAGACTTGGGATATTGGGGTTCTTCTTATGTTAAATGGTCTTTGACTTTGTTCAACTACAAAGGTAAATTAGGCATACATGATCGGAAACCAAGATTTCTAAGTGAAGACCACTTCGTGTTGTGGGTTTTAGAAGATGTTGGAAATCATAAATGGTCCAAGCATGTCTACGTATTGCCTCCTTTAGACAACAGGTATTGGATCAGCTTTGTTGGAATGACTAGTACAGGTGATATTGTGTGGTCCTATTACAAGAAAAATTACGTTTACTTCTACAATTTGGAGAGGAAAACTGTAACAAGAGTCAGTATTCAGGGATTTGAAGACTCTGCGCATGATCATCATGTACTTGTTGACACCTTTGTAGACTATGTGGAGAATATGAAGTTTATGTAAGCGTGTTCAATGCTTTTGTATATTAACTTAATTTGAGAGTCTTTATATTTTGGATTTCAACTCTTATCATAATGTTCCTAGCTCTTAACGTTGTTTGGACTTCAACTTTTTATAATACATCTAGTTTTTTTGCTCTAGATTTTACCACGTTGTTCTGTTTTTGTCTTCTTTTTTTTGTCACTCATTTTCTCTTTCTCCTCAAATTCGTTATCCTCTCTCATCCTAGTCTCAATGACCGGATTTCATGTTTTATTACTTTTGGTTAGTGGTCGCAGCAAAAAGTGGACAAATGGTTGTTGCTTAGTTTACACATCAAAAGCGAAAAGAAAGTTACTTGGCATTATGATGTTGTTAAATGTTTCTTTTATCTTTAGTTAAACGTGGGTTGTGTTGCATGCTCTTCTCCAAGTCTACTTACCTGAAAATTAATAGAAAGTATGTGTAAAGTAAAAGCCATTGTGTGAATGCATCAAACTTGGGTTTACCATTGTAGTCGTGATATAGATCAATGTGTCTTTTTGACAATGGAAGTATCTTGTTGTACAAAGACGGATATCGACAAAAGTGTTTTAAATAGAATCCTTGAGAAATATGAATCACTGTTGTCTGTGGAGTTACAAGAAAGTTTGAAAATATTTGCCTGAGAGTGTAGAGTTGTTCCGAGCTTCCACACTGCAACACGCCAACACCCGAGGAAAACAACAAAAATTCTCATCTTATGCATCCACATTGCGGTGTTTGGTTCTCTTAGAGTTTGCTCGTCATCTCTCAAAGTTTGCCTTCTTTTTTTTTTTTAATTTTGTAAATTTTTAAGACTTTTAGGTGATAGATGTTAAAATGACTCAAATTCTTATAAGTTTTATTTTTATTTTTTTTGCTGTTTCCGGTTCTTCATGTGCACGCAAGACAAAATGTATAAATTACAAAGTTTGTCTGTGTACAGTATATATTCATCTTCAAATCCATACAACAATGAAATGCATGAATTCAGCAACCAAGTAACCTACTCAATAGCCAAACAAAACCGAAACCGTTTATCACGACACAGTTCCACTGAGAGATGACGGGGAAAAGCTGAAATGACTAGAATACCCTCGACTACACGCTTGGTGTGTTAAACGGCGTCGTATTATCCTGCAGCCCTTTAGTAGTAGTTTTAGCCGGAGAGAGAAGAAAGGAGAATCTCGAGAGAGACAGAAAGCGACGATTGGTTGGTTGGTGGGAATTTGAGCAATCTTTGGGAAGAGAGAATATTATCGATGGCTACTTCCAAGCTTCAAGCTCTCTGGAATCACCCTGCCGGACCTAAAACCAGTGAGTCAATCCGGCATACATTCCACCTCTTTCGAAGATGATAGCTTTGTTCATCGATTACGATTACACTCTTTTCCTTTTGATGATCGAATTTGTATAATTGAGCAATCTACACGTATTGGATTTCGTTCCTTTTTGCTATTATGTGTTGAATCCTGATTTGTTTTACTTAAAAAAAACTTTTTTTTTTTGGGGTTGAGTTTGACTTTTCGATAAGCTTTGGAAATAATAACTTTAAATTCGAGGGTTGGATTGATATGTTAGTACTAAGATCTAAGGTAAATATTAGAACTTTGATGATACCAAAGATAAAGAATCACTCTTTGCATTGTAATTGGGTTTTTTTTCCATGTGTGATCTAAATTGATAATCCTCGAGTTTGATTTGAAGTCTCTGTTTACCCAATTCTCAGAACAGAATAGGTTTGTTTTTCAAATCAAATCCGTACTGAAATCAAACAAGTGCCCCCCATTTTAGTCATATGATCACATTTTTTTTGGTGTAAATTGGTTAGATCATTATGGTAAATGGATCACAAGTCTCGTATATGTCCTCTTTCTCAGTTCATTTCTGGGCGCCAACGTTCAAGTGGGGTATAAGCATTGCTAACATTGCAGACTTTGCAAAACCTCCAGAGAAAATTTCCTACCCTCAACAGATAGGTATTGTCCTTGATCGTTCCTTCATGTACACAGACGCGAGATCGATGTTACCTTTTACCTTTTGTCTCATACTTTCTTTGGTTGCTTTTGTTTGTCTTTGTCATATACCTCAATGCTCTTAACAGTTTTTTTTCTTTCTCTGATATCTCTTAGCGGTTACATGCACCGGAGTTATCTGGTCTCGCTACAGCATGGTTATCACTCCGGTGAGTTTTTGCCTTACACTCGGACAAGTCTTTTTCTTGCTCTTCTGTGTCTGATCTTCTTCCCACAATCTTCTCCCTTGCTTTTTGTAACGATTCTTTATTACGACTTTTGTTTTACAGAAAAACTGGAACCTCTTTAGCGTTAATGTTGCTATGGCGGGTACAGGCATATACCAGCTTGTTCGTAAAATAAAGTAAGATCCCAATTTTCTTCTTAATCAAATTACATGAGATTGATTGTGCAGGAAAATGCTCTTTAGTTTAGGCTACTGGAAGCAGAACGAGCAAATCCTAACATACATCTTAGTCATCTAAGTTCAATACTTATTATGATTAAAAAAAATTTGGTTGTTTTTTTCTTTTTTGTCATCAAAAAGTTTGGTTGTTTATATGATGCTTTCTTGAAAAAAATTCATATGATTGTTTTTGGTCTCCAGAAACGATTTTGCATCTGAAGCCGAGCCTGTTGTTGCGAAAGAATGATTACGACGAAGAAGATGAGGCATCAAAGGAAAACTGGATATCGTCTTGCTTGTGTTTGGAATCTAGTACCAAAGATATTTTGATATTTCTTCGAATTCCCAAGATCTTCTGGGTCGGATTACGAAAAGTATTAATGTTTTGTTATTTGCTCAATTGATAAAGGAGATCCAGAAGCTCCATTAATATGCTTTTCAACGTATGTCATAAATTCTCCAAAGAAGAATAAAATGTTCTGAATGTTGAATCAACTTACAATTCAGTCAAAAAATAAAAGAACAAGAATTTTCTACTAATTGAATAGTAACTTCCTTATCAGTGAGTTTGGACTTGGTCATCAGCATTAGAAGGAACCAGCTATGGACGATAATCAATTTGGAGATGATTATGATGATGAAGACGGAATCATCTTACTGTGTTTGCATATCTCGCTCAAGATATTTGTTTTTCTTTAAGATCCCAGATCTTCAATAGGTTTGCTATATCTCAAAGGATCAAGGAAGTCAAAAGCTCTATTCATATGCTTTCAAAGTACATCATAAGTTACTCAACAGAGAAATCAGTCTCCTGAATGGTTTAATCAAATTAAAATTCAGACAAGAAAAAGCAAGAATTCTCTATGAATTGAATGTTTTAGTTCCGAATAAAATGAGTCTGGTCATCAAGAAGAAAAGGAACAAGCCATGGACGTACAGACTAGATCAAGGATCTGCGTCCATCTCTAACAAAAGCTTTCTTCTTTCCGTATTGTCTTAGTTCCTTATGACTTGAGAGTTGAGGAAGAGGAACAAAACTCAAGTTGCAGGGGAAGCAATGGCCTCAAGTTTATCACTCTTCTAGTGGCTCGTCCTCTTTAGGATTGTCTTCAGAATCCGCATCTTTTGCATTCAAGTTAAGTCCTAAATCAAGAGTGCTTTCGTTCAGATCTTGTCGCACTACTGTTTCCACCTCCTCCTAAGAAACACATGAGAGGTTCAATACTTCTTCAAATAGCCAAAAGATCAAAATGCACATCTTCAAATGGACTTCCAGGTGTATTCAAATTCGCAGAGAGAGAGAGGAGAAAAAAAGATTTAATACAGTAACAAGGAATATCAGACAAGCATTACAGATTTTACCTGATTATCTTCCATTGGAACATCGTTTATATCAGGTTTTTCCTCAGCTTCCGTTTTCTTCTCGCTCGGTTCTGCTTCACTTGTGTCCTCATCAACCTTGACGCCGTCCTCCTCAACCTTGTCATCCTCCTCAGCCTTCTCATCCTCTTCAACCTTATCATCTTCCTCGATTTCTGTAATTTCTTCCTTCTTCTGTTCCTCAAGTACTGCAATCTGCACCATTTAGCCACACTTTCACTTCAAATGAATCACAAGAACACTCTTAAACAATCAAGAATAATGTTGGATGTATGAATACTATATACTGAAATTCCACATTTTTTCTAATCCAAGACAAATCAAGCATACTGCAAAAACATTCCAGGTCTCTCTCTACTAATCTCTCCCGAATCGCTGCTACCAAAAACCCCAATCATCAGTTTATCCAAAGAATTCAGATTGGCAAAAACAGAGACGTAAGCTAGTGCAATTAGTACTAAGTGCTCATAATTGTCCCTTTTCAATAGTTAATACGACGATTAAATCCCTAACACTGTTGCAATCACCTAAGCAATCGAGCCACTCATAAGCTCAATTCAATGCAACAAGGCATAACACAATACATTGAACCGAAAATCAAGAAAATCATAGATCACAAACTAACCGGAACGTATTTGAATCTACGCCGCGGAGGATCTTCTAACGTCGCCGCCGTCGCCACAGGTTCTTCGCTCGGAGAATACTCTCACTCTTACCATCATCATCCCGTTTCCGTTACCGTTACTGCCCTGAGACAATGGAGCCCACTTATACAGCAACAAATGCGATCCATTACTACTGCCGTCGGAGGCCGAGCCACCGTTAACGACGGAGGTGGTTGCGGCGGAAGCGGAGGAGCTATTGTCTTTCTTGGTGGAGGGAGAGATATGAACCCACTTCTTCTTCCACTTCCTCACCGGACCGGTGAATACCGTTGCCGGTCCGTACCGAGTCGAGGACCGACCTAACCGAGCTCCAACTCCTTCCATGACGACTCGCTGTCGCTGATTTACCACTGATCAAATCCCAAATCGGATTATTAAATATATATTTTTCCAGGTTAATGGATTTTCTTATGTGTGTAAATTGACTTTAGACTTTTGTTTCGTCTCCTTCCTCCGTGAGAACAAAGAAAACGAAACGCTCTCTCTCTCTCAGATCTCAAGTTTTGCGAAGCCGATCTTATTGGTTTTTTTTTGCAAGAGGAAAGACTCTCCCTCGGCTAGAGGTTTTATTATATACGTGTAACGTGTATTACGCTAATGTGTTTAGATTTTAAAATACGCGTACTTAAGGGGTGTACAAAAACCAAACCGAGCCAAAATTCATCGGTTTAAATCCGAACCGAATTTAATTATAGCCTGAACGGTATTACTATTTATATATACCGAATCCGAATCAAGTCTTAATTTCGTAAAACCAGACTGAATTAACTAGAATTCCTTTTTAAATGGAACCCGAAATACATATGTTAAACTAACCGAACCGACTAAAAAAAAAGGAAATCAATTCTTCTAAAGGTCTACAGGTCTATTTTTCAAAGACCAACAGAACTAAACCGAAAAACTCTTTTTATCCCAGAGGATCTCGGTTAATCGTGACCTAGAAGCGCCCTAAGAGAGTTGACTACAAAAAGACTTTTATACCCCTGATGTTCGCTCCATATAAATATCTCTTCAACAATCTATCATCATCATCTCTTATACACGACGCCTAGTATTAGGGCTTCCTCATATTTTCTTTCGATTCTATAGCATAGTTAGGTATTATCTGAATCCAATTGACGTTGTTTTTCGCGTATTGTTTAGCTTGTCTTATTGGGGCTACATTGTACCGAGAGAAGGGTTCGATCAATAAACACACCCTTGATCTTGAATTTGCCAAATTGGCTGTAGCTAGATCGATTCAGAAGCTATCTGGCCGGTGGTCGCGAGAGAGATTCAGATCTCTCCGGTCGATTCATCTGCTTACCGAGTTTCTTACATCTATAAATGTTCCTCCTGATCTTTTGATTCGTTTTTATGAGTTTTGAGTTTTTGGAAATTGTGAATTGAGAGAAAGGATATAAAAGATAAGAGGATAGCAGATTTAAAATAAATGCCATTTTCAAGAGACCTTTCTCGTAGATTAAACATTTGGGCTCCTTTCCAGGCAATCTGCTCTTTACTTCGTGAGCAGCTATGTGTCTTATAGGTGCCTATATATAATTAGCATCACTCTGAATCAAATTCACCATCTTTTATCTTATTTTTAAAGATTTTACTTTCATTTATTCAAAATTATAGTTTGTCTCAATTGACAAGTAGATCAAAGTTGAATTAATGCTACGATTCATGACCGATGTGATCATTGAATAAATTGTTCAATGTGAAATAACTAAATTATACCGATTTGAGACTGTGGATCAGTGGATGAAGAAATTTATCTAATTTTTACTAGCATTGAATCAATAATTGAATTCTAAATATTCAAATTTGACAATGTCTTGCCATGAATTAATAATAGTGCATATAAAACAGAAATTAGATGCTTGGAGCATGTACATCAGTGAACCTTTACCGTATCTTTCTTCAAATTTGTCGGGATGATACTGTTTCTTTAATATTAAGATTTTTTGTCTCAAAAACCGTAAACCCTTCTTATTCTCTGATGTAGATGTTTTTAGACAATGCATCCAAAGTCCCACACTACTATAGGCCACATCAAAATCTACCTAATTCTTTACATATTGGGCTTTTTGGCCCATGTACGAACCAAAAAGTTCCATCCCAAAAATTGGAGAATCGAGTGATATTGGTGAAAAATATTTAAAAACAACATTGTATTCGAAACAAAAATCTGATTCCCCAGCTGGTGAAACCCTAAACCTCTGCTCTACTAATCCACTCTGAGAGTGAGTGTGAGAGTGAGTGAGAGCAAGTTTCCGAGGAAAAAAATGGCGCATCTTCCGATGGATATCGTCAACGAGTTATTCCTCCGTCTCCCGGCAAGTTCGTTGGTCCGATTTCGACTCCTCTCGAACCCTTGCTTCTCTCTGATCGACAGTCCCGATTTCATCGCATCGCATCTCAATCGCACACTCGAAACCGGAGATCACCTCATGGTCTTGCTGCGATACCCTCGGCTTCTACGTATGGTGTACCTCGACGCACCGGATAAGGTCTCCGACGTTGAGCATCCTTTGCAAGCCGGTGGTTTTACTGACGTTTTCGGTTCATGTAACGGTTTGATCGGTTTAACCAACTCTCCTACTGACATGGCGCTTTTCAACCCTTCAACCCGGAAAATCCACCGGTTACCGATTGAACCCGTCGATTTCCCGGATTGCTTGATCACTCGGAAGTATGTGTTGTATGGGTTGGGTTACGATTCGGTGAACGATGATTACAAAGTTGTGAGGATCATTCAGTGTAAGCGTAAAGGAGACTGTGGTTACCCTCTTGAGATCAAAGTTTTCAGCTTGAAGAGTAATTCGTGGAAGAGAATCTATCTTCTTTTTGAGGTTCAACTTAAATTCATCTACTTCTATTACCATGTGTTGTATCGCCGTGGATATGGTGTTCTAGCTAGCAACAGCCTTCACTGGATTTTACCTCGAAGACAAGGAGTTATTGCCATAAATTCGATTATTAGATTCGATCTTGCCTCTGAGGAGTTTGATATCGTCGGTATCCCAAAGGATCTTTTCTATGAAGATAATTTTGATTTGGGTGTGTTAGATGGCTGCCTTTGTGCGATGAGTTACCACGAGTTTACCCATGTTGATGTTTGGATTAAGAGGGAACATCAAGATGAAGGATCTTGGACTAAGCTGTTTAAGGTGAAGAAACCAGAGAGTGTTGGATCGTTGGATTTTATGAGACCTTTGCTCTATTCCAAGGACAAGAGCAAGGTTTTGCTGCAGATCAACGTTGGGAAGCTCGTGTGGTATGATTTGGCGAGTAAGAGTTTTGAGACGCTTGGGATAAAGGACTGTGAAGGTTCGTGTTCCGCAGAACTAGTTGTGAGTAGCCTTGTTTTGGGATGTAAAGGAGATCCTCGCAGAGCTCGAGAAAACAAAATGATGCAGAAGAGTAACAAAAGGTTGTATGCTCATCTCTACCTCATTTTAGATTATGGTTAAGACAGTAAGGCAAATCTGAGTCCTTAGGTGTCTTCATTCGGTTATATTTGAGGGTTGCAAATGGTAAAATGTGTATCAACATGCTTAAACATCTTATGTTACAATCCCAGGGATGGTTTTCTGTCCAAGGGATTCAAGCTGAAGCTATGAGCAAAGCAGAAGAAGCCCAAACCTAAATCAAGGTAAGTGTAATGAATATAAATGGTCATGAGTGTTTCCTCAAGTTAACATAATTGGAAGTCGTAGCAAGTGGAACTTGAGTCAACATCTTAGGTTAACGTTTATGATTTAAGAGAAATCTGACTATTTCAAGAGTTCTGGAGTTTGATTTTTCAGGTGCAGGCGTAGGAGGAAAGGAAATGGCTTTAAGCAACTTCGTCAAATCCTAATCCCATATTAGGTCTTAGTACTAATTATCTTAACCTATGTCGTACGTAATTATGTCCTATGATTAGATAGAGCTCTTCTAAATGTTATTAATTAACTCTTTTGAGTTTAATCTGTTGCAATATACGATTATGCAATTCGCTTGACTTAGATTCGCAATCTCATCAAAAATCCAAATAGCCAATCGGTGATTTTCAGTAATTACCAGCTGGAAACAAAAGCATAAGAGCGAAGTTTTGAATAATGTCGTCTTCCCTACCGCAGAGTTTTCTCAAAACGTATTGCTTTTACATTTGATGCATCGAATCCAAATCCAATCATTTGGATCATTCCTTGCTGCATTAGAAACAGAACACTTGCAATGACTAAAAGATTCACCCAAGAAGATGAGAATGCTCAAAGTCAGAGCTTTTGAGGCAAATGGTGTACGTACGTGAAGAGTAACCATTTTCATGTCCAAGAATGAGACTAAATAAGCATCTTAATCTAAACAAATGTCTATGTAACTAGATACATGGCCATCTTAAGATCAGAAAACATTTTGAGGGTTGTGAGTTAAGTAATTTTCTAAGCAAAACAAGGAGACAATATAAAAACGAAAAACATAAGAGCTTACAGCTTAAAGCTTTTCTTCTTGCCAAGATGCAAATAGACATTAAGTACCTAGTAATGAACATTAATAACAATCATCACAGTTCATATGATGGACCATAACCTTTTGTATATTGGCATGTGTTTGAAACCTTGGATTAATAGTCCAGACCCGTTTCTGTTATAATCAACGATATATTATAAACTCTTTGTGTAAACTAGCTAACAGTCTCAAACTAACCAAGAACTTGATCTATAGATTTATTCTTAGCCATTTTGTACAAACTCCAGAATATTACAACTGTAAACGCATTGGCGCTCACTGTATTTGTGTCGGTGATTCTCTCGAGTGCTATCAGAATTTGTTATCAGACCAAAATTAGTCAAACAATCCTCTGTACATTTTAACCTTTTTAGCAATATAGTAATCATTAATTATAAAAAATGAACAGTATTTTTACAACTTGCAGTAATGGTTAAACACATGGAAAAAAAGCATTGTGGCCACTTGTCCAGGAAAAAAAGCTTCTTCTCTATTGTTAAGATAATTGACTCAATGAATCTTTATAATGTTCAAACAGTGAAAAGGTTTTAGCATCTAATCATTCTAAATGATTGGTTATAAGAGTTCAATGCCTATACGTGAAAACTCTAAATTTGTCTTTAATTAGTAAAAATCGTTGAAATCAAGGTTTTTTTTTATCATATGAGTCGTTGAACTTAAATTTATGCCTCTAAGTAGTACTTTTCTAATCTTTTTTTTAATCCACATTAAGCATTTAGGTGCAATGAGGACCCCACACACAGATTTACTAATTTACCATCGCATGTCGACGGTGTAGCGCCGCTCTTAGGTTTTTATTTTAATTTTTTACTTAATCCAAAATCCCGGCAGAGACAAAGACGATAAGGCCCTTCAATTGCCGAAACCCGAAAAGAGAAAGAGAGAGAAGAAGAGGAAGAAACGATCGGCCAGAGAGAGAGAGAGAAGAGAGAAAAGAGAGAAGAAAGGTCATCCGAATATTTGTTCTCATCTGATTTCTCCGATCTGCCATGGCTGGGTTTTGCTGAGGCTAATAGCTTGGTGCTGGGTTTAGACGCTCGGTGAAGGAGGGAGATAGATCTCTTTTACCTCTTTTTTGCGTCGCGAGGAGAAAAAAACGGTTTGTTTTGCTTTGTTTGCTTGCTGTTCATGTGGATCGGTTTTGTTTCGTGGTAGATTATCTTATTTCGATTTCGGGATCGATGAGCTTTCATATCTTTGACGTCGTGGATCTGATTTTTCTTCTGGATTCTCCTTGTTTTGACCTGATGAGGCACTGCTTACTGTTTTGTGACCTAGATTCGTTGTTTTAGATTCGGATTAACAGTATTTCAGTGTTTGATTTATCCAAATTTCTCGTAGGAATTCTGGGTTTTTGTTGGTCATTCATCTGTACGTTGTTGTAAGATATTCGTGAGCTGGGTTTTCGAAATTTTCAGTGTCTCACTCCTTTGTGTGTTTCGATACTGTAGTACGTATGCTTTTTTCTCATAATATTAGTTTAGAATCTTAACTGCTACCATTAGCGTGTTGGTTTGTTAAATGATTAGTTTATACTTATTATGGTATGTTGCATTTTTCTTCAAGCAAAGTGTTACCTTGAATCTATTTATTGGTTACTGTGGCTGTCCTTTTCAGTTTTTATTGGAGCCTTGAGAGATAATCTGGTGAAGATAGTCGTTAATAAAGTCAATGGTAGAGAGACTTTTATTGTTTGTATTGAATGAATCACAAGCTTTTTTTATTGTGTGTGGTGTCTGTGGTGCACTAGAGATGATGATTCATATTAGTGTTTAGCTCTTTCTGTTTGGTCTTTTGAGACGAGTTTTGATAGTTCTGTGTTCATGACCTCTTTTTTTTGTGTGGTTTTTCTAGTGCCTATAGGCTTAACACCGAGGAGTGGACTCATACTGAGAGGATAGAAATGGCAGATGGGATATCGAGCTTTTGGGGTCCAGTGACTTCTACTATAGAGTGTTGTGAGGAGAACTACGCCTACTCATCTTACATCGCAGAGTTCTATAACACCATATCCAATGTCCCTGGAATCCTATTGGCTCTCATTGGTCTCGTCAATGCGTTAAGGCAACGGTTTGAGAAGAGGTTTAGCATTCTTCACATATCTAATATGATACTTGCCATCGGCAGCATGCTCTACCATGCCACTTTGCAACACGTGTAAGTACACTTCCTTTCTCGGTCTCTTGACTTATATTTACCTGTTAAATTGATGCATAAAAGTTTTCAGATTATTAGTTTCCTGATCCTTTATTGGGTAATAATTCTGTGTCTTGTTCCAAGCAGGCAACAACAGAGTGATGAGACCCCGATGGTGTGGGAGATACTTCTATACATGTACATCCTTTACTCACCAGATTGGCATTACAGAAGCACAATGCCCACTTTTCTCTTCCTCTACGGTGCTGCCTTTGCCGTAGTCCATGCTTTCCTCAGGTTTGGCATCGGTTTCAAGGTCCACTACGTGATTCTCTGCCTTCTCTGCATCCCTCGGATGTACAAGTACTACATTCACACAGAGGATATCGCAGCCAAAAGGATTGCGAAATGGTATGTCGCTACGATCCTAGTGGGGAGTGTTTGCTGGTTCTGTGACCGTGTTTTCTGCAAGACGATATCTCAGTGGCCTGTGAATCCTCAGGGACATGCTCTGTGGCATGTCTTTATGAGTTTCAACTCTTACTGTGCAAACACATTCTTGATGTTCTGTCGAGCTCAGCAACGTGGATGGAACCCAAAGGTAATATACTTTCTGGGAGTACTTCCTTATGTCAAGATCGAGAAGCCAAAAGCACAATGAGAAGTTAAGTGGGGGAAGTAAACGCCCATAAATATAGTTTTTTTGTTCATCGTTTTGTCAGAAATCTCAACGTTGCTTATTCTATTTTATTTTTGGAAGTGAAACTCTCTAGAAACAGTCTAGATTTTTTTTTTCTTTTTGTTTTGTATTAGTTACACTGGGGATTATGATCTTAAGAAGAATTGATTTTTTTTTTTAACTTGCTAAAACGCTCCTGTTTCTATTTCTTTTTCCCTCATTTTAATTTGACCACATTCTTCTTCCTCAACTCTATAACTTATTCTTTTCCTGAACAATTTAACACCATCCTTCGGGTTTTGTTTGGTCTGCTTTTGTTGTTAGGTCTGGTCCATACACTTTGATTCAAGGTCTAGAATCTTGATTTTGATTTAACAGAATTAACTCCTGAACACTACGTATTGAATGTTAGGTGAAAAATGATGTTATAGTGAGCTCTTTTCTTCTTTCACAAGGAGTATCATTTTTACATACAGCGGCTAAACCAAGCTGAAATCTATCGCTTTCTTTTCTTTTGTATCCAATAATTTTTCTGACTTTTTCGTAACACACACGCCAGAGTATAATATGGTAGATACAATGAAGGGTCGTGATATTCTATGACCCAATAACCTTTTCCTGCAACATTTGGCCAAGCTTCATGAATAGAGCTTGTTGTTCTTCCAATGTTAGGCTTGTGATTATCTGTAGTTAAGCAAAAACAGTCAAAAGCCAAATAAGACATCTTACAACGTTGTGTTGGTTCTTTTACAGTAAACTTCCTACCTGGTCTAAGAGCTTATCCACAGAGAGACTTTGGGGTACGACAAACGATTGATGATATATATACGCAAAAACAGCCATTACCATCTATAAACCGGAAAGAGATATCATATCAGTTACAAAGATGTTGTTATAAAAGATTTTAAAGATGGCACATAATAATGTTTTTGAAGTCAATGCGCGAATATCTACCTGACAATCCATTCTGTCTGTGATTCCGCCATGCCCGGGAATACTATCACCAAAGTCCTGAAATGTTGGAGAAATGCAACAGTGAATCAATGTTGCATAGATTATTGCAGTTTTTTATGACTAAATATAATCTGAAACCTACCTTGACTTTGAAAGCTCTTTTGAAACCACTGGCAAAGAAGCCACCAAAAGGCGCTATTATAGATGCGAACAAGCCAAGACATAGAGCATGCCACTGAACAGGTAGAATAGATATTTCTTTCCAAGGGAACTGCATATTAAAACAACTTTTCGTTCATAGAAGCAATGAAAGTTGCTCGTGTAATTTGTTTAGTATTGTGCAATTCTAGGCTTACCCAATCAGAAATCCATCCTGGTATAGCATGTGTCTCTTGCTTGAACAATGGACCAGGATCACAGTGAAGCCATCCCGTCGATAGATCCTGTACTCATTGCAGGCCAATAACATAAATGGTCATTAGTTCTTACTACACTTCTTGTAAGAAAAGAAGGCAGGACATGATTGCAACTTCCACGTACCTCTCTGGGACATGTCAGCCATAGAAAACGACCCATTACATTTGCAAGCTGCAAAAAGAAAAAGAAAGATTAATATAACCATTAGCAGCTCACATAAACATGTAGTTATTAGATTACCAGGAATGCAGAAATCATTGTGGTGATTGAAGCTCCAATGAAACCCTCCCATGTTTTCTTTGGTGATAACTTGATCAACGGTGTTCTTCCAAAGAAGAAACCACAAATGTATGCAAATATGTCATTGATGACGATAAGTGATGCAGGAAGTAGAAACCTGCACAAGATATTAGCATATTAACAAAGTAGACTCAAGATTATTAGAAAAATAACACAATGAGAAACCAAGGAACAGGTGACATATGTGACTCTGTGATTTACCAGAAGATTCCTTCAAAGATGTTGGCCACGGTGAATGAGGACTGAGTGAACACCACAATTAAGATCATATGCGTCCATGCATATTGGCTAAACTGATATTTGTACATCTTCTTTTTCAGCGTCAGAATAAACCACACAAAACCTACAATTCCAAGAACAAAAAAAGAGACAGACTGTGTAAGCAAAATCAGTCGACAAAGATCATTGCTCCTCACACTAACGAGTAACCACAAAAGTTCAGGAGACATCTAACCGGAAATATACAAGGAGTAACAGATTGCCATGTGGTATTTGATGAGGTTGGTGACCAGTCGATACAGGACTTTGTCTGGAGTCACCGTGTTAACTAACCGTTGGCTAAGTATTCGGCCATATACAAATAGCATTGCCGTGAAAAAGAAATGCCTACATAAAATGGGGATCAAAGACACACAGAAAATACTCAAAACCATTAGACCAGCTCATTACACAGAAGCACAAGATCAAGAAACTCGAAAGGCTGAGCAGGAGTGAGCAAGTGTGGATTACCAATTGAGTAATCTAAACCCAGGGAGCTGTTTATCTTCATGAGTTTTTCTAAGCAAATTGAAAAGTTCTCGTGCCATGAATATCTGGATGACAACCACCATGGCTGTAATGTAGAGATGACCCAGGTACACTATTAGAGCAAAACCACCAATCATCCAAATAGTGGAGTATGCTCGAACGAGAAACGATTTGTATTTGCTTCTGTTATTGACAAGTAAATGGCTTCCATTTGGTTTTGCTCCTGCAACAACCTAAAAAACCAAACAAAGTTGTTGACTTTTTCAACCAAAGTATATACAAAATGGAGCAACAACGAAAAAAGCAACTATAGCTTCTCTACATCACATAAATGCAACTTAGCGAGGACAAGAACAATGTGAAACCTCAAGTAATCAATCATTGACTTGCCTTAATCTGTGTCACTCAATAAGTAAATTCTGAAGCAGAGATATGAATAAGAGCAAACATACATCACTATTTCGCTTCCGATGCCGAACACGAGTGGTACGTGCTGATGTAGCAGCATCGCCAGTGTTCTCCTTTTGCATATTTCTAACATTAAAATACAAATCAATGAAGGGAAATAAACTGAGACTGACTGAAAAGAAGACTCTCGATATCTTTCACTATACTAATATAGCAGCAACTACAAATCATTGACACGCCGGAAAAAAAAAAAACAATTTTTGAAGAATAGAATTTACGTATATAAACAGAAACTAAATCAGCTGAAACAATTAATAAACATACAATTGATTCATTGATAATTCTTTAGTTCCACCTCAAAGTAACGCAATCAGAATTCAAAAATTCTCCATCAGTATGTTTGTTTACTCAAATTCATCGAATCTAAAACACCGAACATAAGTAAAATAGCTATAATTCAAATATTAGAGATAGAGAAATTATTACAATTAAACAGGAAACCATACAAATATGAGCAAAATCACACAGACCGATGCACCTTCGAGAATAAAACAGAAATTCAAACAAGCAAGAGTTATTACAGCATACTGGAATCTCCACTAATGTTTTAAAACATCACAACACGAACTAAGCAGGATAAAACAGAGGAACACTAGTAATTTCTCGTGGAGATCTGAGAGCTGAGGAGACGAGATATATGTGTGCAAATACACATCTATACATAACTATGTAAATAAGGATTGAGGTACATAAGGTAGAGACGTGAAACCTGTTCGTGAGCTCAGTTACTGTGCGATAGAGAAGAAGACGATGGAACAGAGAATCGACTTGAAGCAAGAAAATAGAAGACGAAAGGATTCTATTTTTCCCGAATCTTATTATTATTATTTTTTTTCTCTTTTTCCCGAATCTTAACAATCAGTATTATATTAGGGGATTAAAGGTAATTTTTTTAATTGTTATAAAATTAGAGGTAATGTTCACCAGAACGTCGATAAACGGGAGAATATTACGAACGAACTCTTTTAAAAAGAAAATTGCACACTGATGTTCATCCATAAATAAAAAAGAGAAAAGAAAGTGTTTTTGTTTGGAATGGTGGAGAATAGAACCGCCAAAAGGAGAAATAACGTATTAGATTCTTCCTTCTCTCTTTTTTAAAAAAAAAAATTATAGATGAACATTTAGATTATCCATCAAAAATAGGATTTATTTAGTACAGATTTACAAACAAATTTAGAATTGATTAATTTGATAAATAATTTCGATTGAAAGATGTTTCAAACACCTCATTTCATGAAATTAGTTGCAACTTAATGGCAATCATTTTTATTTCGTTCTCATTATGCTTATTATTTAGTTTGCTCAGTGTTCGATTTTCATTTTAACACAGACAATAAGCTTCTAGCCTTCTTTACTCTAAAGAAACAGACCATTTTAAACATAACATTAAGATATGAGAAAACATATGGAGAAAACACACTTTTCTGGAAATGGAAATGAGAACTTTTCCAAAGCTGAACCCTTAACACCTGGTCTGTAAACCCAAATGAAAACATTTCATTAAGAATTTTCGAACAATTTTTTGACATGAAAAGTTACTTTATACCGTGGTCTTTAAATTTGTACACAATTTAACTCAAAATTTCAAAATGATGCATAAGACTGTTCCCAAAAGGCCAAAACTCATCTTTCTGTTTTTAATTGGGTTGATATATCCATTACTACTACAGGTAATGGATATAAGACTGTTCCCAAAAGGCCCTTTGATTGTTGCATATCCAAGACTAAAGATTATCTCCAAAAAGTTGTGAAATAAATCTCTAATCTAACTAGTCAATTCAAGAAAAGACCTGGACACTAATTCTTAAGGAGATGAGAGTTTGTTTCCCGCTGCTCTATTCCCCCTGCTGCTCATAGATCTGCATGTACGCCTCCGATAGTTCTACCATTTGGGGAAGTGTCTCTGCAACATGAAGATCCTGCATCTCGTACCTGCAATGGATATTATCCTCAATTTATTTCAGCTCTAAATCCTATCATAAACACGTCACTATGTGTTCAAATTGTGATATCTAATATGCTAAAAAGGTCATTTGAGATACTTTTGCCATCCCTATTTCATGGAAGCACAAAACAAACAAAAAAAACAAACCAAACAAAAAAACAAATGTTTATAGAAGAGAGAAAGCTTACCATAGTTCTTGAGACTTGCGCTGCACAAAGACTCTGAAATACCCGTCCTCAGGCTTACCATCATGTACAATGTTAGCGATTAGATTATACTTGGTACACACCCTCTCGCCTTCAGCGACTGTAGGCAAAGATGGTATGTAATCCCTCAGCTCCATGTCCTTCACAGGGAAGTTTACTGTGGCATCGACCAAAAAAAAATAATGGAGTCAATTAACCAGGGAATAGGAATCCCTGTACAACATTTATGTCACAAAAATTCCAAATAGACTCACCCAAAGTAGGGTTCTTCTCCTTGAAGAAGTTATTCTTTTTGAACCGAACCATATGGAACATCAAGTAAGGAGGACATTTTGTTATGCGATATCTCATTCTTGCCAGCCTAGGGCGAACCACCTCTGTCACAGTTTCTCCATCAAACTTCTTCAGTAAATCGAATAGGAAAACCTGACCAAAACATCAAAGATATTAGCTTCTGCTTGCCTCACTTTGCTAACTAAAAACTCAAAGACGCATATATGAGGTAGCAAGCCTTAAAGGCTACTCGAGGTTCAACCCAAAAGGACTCAGAGAATTCTTCCCTTTTTAACTCTTAAAGTGGATTTCAAAAAGTCAGTGTACTCTATGACAGCGAAGAATCACAAAGCCATTAGTTGAATTACTATGACTCAGCCACAAAATAAGTTTAAAGGTTTTCTAGCTGCACCTCAATTATGTTACTCATAATAATGTTCCCCTTTCTGGAATACATTTTGTAAAAGGGGCAGAGTAGGAAGATTTGCAAGGTTTAAAATATTCAAAACTTAAAAATCTAAAGCAAGAGGTTTATACCTGCGGGATTATGTTTTTCTCCATGACGTCTTTGAAAAGAGGAGGCGGAGGCAAATCTAGCCCAAGCATCAGAAAAGGCATCCTGGAGATTTCTTTGTTTTCATTGCCTTGATACTCTCTCACAACCTCCAACTCACCCTGTAATGGTTAGCAGGTTACATGAACATGCAGCTTTTTGCAAGTAATTATATCAAACTACATTATGTTGACGTGTCAAAGGATGGACACATACCTGGAAGCACTGGTGGATGATACTGCTGCCGTCCTTTGAAGTTCTTAGATCCATGTGCAAAGTGTTGAGGAGCCACGACATAAACTCCACTGGATCTGACTGTTGGCCTATCCTAAATCGTTTCTTGCTAGCTTTCATGACAGCTTGCAAGAATTCATGTGGACTCACCTGTTGACACAAGGTAACTTCAATTAGCAATAGGTGAGTGCATGTAAGAAAAAAATAAAGAAGAGAGAAGTATAATTTGAGTCAAACCTGTCCTTTAAAGTTTCGAGCATGCCAAATCTTTCGGGTGAGTTCCCCAAAGCGGTGAACAAGAGGAGACTTGCAATGCTGATAGTTCTCGGGAATAAGGAAAAAGTTCCTTAAGGGAGTAACTCTCATCAACGATTGGATTGTAACATTCACAAACTCTGTCTTTTGTATGTTGTTCAACCCCACCTATATATATACAAGGTTAAAAGTACCATTAAGAGATAAGTTTACTTAAAGATAAACTGTGTTCAAGGAGAGAGGATTACCATTCCCGGAAGATAGTCAGAGCCATCAAGAGCCCTAGACCAGTTCTTATTCCTGTCAAGCTCTTCCACTTGTGCCCTACTAAACCTGTAAATGGATAGCACCAACGCCTTGATAAGAAGGAACTGAAAACACAATCGGTAAAGGGAAGAAAATTTGAGAAAGCATGAAAGTAGAGTTATATATTCAAGTTATCATAAATTTTTTTAACATGGATCTAAATAACTAAACGAAACTGATTATAACAACAGTCAAAGACATTCTTTTCCATAACATTAACAAATCAATGCAAGCACAAATTGTTTAAACATGGAGAAGGATTGGGCACAATGCAGTAAGAAGTAGTAGTCACAAGATCCAAGTAACATACCTTGGGTTTAAGACATGTCGAATGTCATCCAAAGAAGGGTCATTGATCTCGTAACTATCAGGAAGACAATACACCTTCTCTGTCAAAAGATTGATATAAACGTGGTGTCCTGCTTCCAAGCTATGTGTATAAGCATGAGACTTCTGGCTTCTTCCTTGGAAATACTTCCCGCAAACAAGACACGCATACACATTTAAATTCGACAAGGACACAGAGCAAAACCTCTCGAAATCAAAATCCAAGACCTGAAATTCGACATCAAGAAATGGGTTTAAATGCTTATCCCAAAACAATAGCATATGAAGAACTCGGCAGAAACATAACAATCGACCATAGATTAGATACATTACAATTACCAAACTCAAGAAATTGGTCAAGCAAACATATTCTTTTCACTATAGATGATTTACCTGACGATTAACGGTATCAAGATAAGGGCAATCACGACGGACTTCAACATGGCGTGAATGCTTTCCCCGACCCATCGAGGCATCATCTTCGTCGTCATTGAGCTCTTGTTCACCTTCTCCTACGACTTCGTTCCCATTCCCCTCTCCAATCGCAGCTCCATTATCTTCTTCTCCTACGACTTCGTTCCCATTCCCCTCTCCTATCGCAGCTCCATTATCTGCTTCTCCTACGACTTCGTTCCCATTCCCCTCTCCTATCGCAGCTCCATTATCTTCTTCTCCTACGACTTCGTTCCCATTCCCCTCTCCTATCGCAGTTCCATTATCTTCTTCTCCACTTCCACGAGCTTGCGGATTTCTCCTCTCGCCTTCCTCTTCTTCATCGTCTTCATCGTAAGCATTCGCCAACGGCAATAAAGGGTTATTGAAACCCAGTGGTGGAGGAGGCGAAGCAGACCGTTCTATCAATCTCGTACGCTTCATCTCTCGTTCTTCCTCAACATCACCATTCTTAACTTCTCTCTCGTTTTTCATTCTCAAGAGTTTCTTACGCAACTTGCTTCAAAACCCTAGAACACAGAAAACCAGCGACTCACGGAGATCCTCAGCCGAATCAAAGCAACGATTTCTTCCAAATCAACGCCCTAGACGACTAGACTTCAAATCAGAAGAATCTATGGTCGTCAATCTACTCGAGTATATCCCTCAATACACAAATTTTCCCGAGAAAGTTTGCAAATTCGCCACTACTGAGTCGTTACAACCTAAAAACTTCTAGAACCGACTCTAGTCTCCGCGCAACAGTAGATTCCCTCGCTCTTCTAAGCTTTTATGTTTCTTATTGGGCTTTATTTTCCTAGCCCAATAGAAATATTAATACATATTTATATTTTTTGAAATAATATGTATTTTTTACACAGAGATTATCTCTGTTTAAAGATTCACGATCCGATACTGATCAAAATTCCATTAACACCCTCAAGCATCTCGAAACCAACAACAGTAAACGCGTCAAAATCCAAGGGGATATATTCGACATTTACGTCGAGTAAAGAGATGGGGTTTTAAGTTAAAGCCAGCTGGCCAAGAAGTAAAAGCAATCAGATTACAAAACGACGAATACACCCTTTACCAATAAGCTTTAGATGCCATAACTCATAAGGGTAATATCGACATTCACACTCTGCTGATAAATCAAAACCAACCGTGAAGGGTATATTCGTCATTCCTTGAGTTATAAAGAGAGAGACAGAGACGAAGAAGAAGAGAGAGAAAGAGACAAGGGTAGAAAGAAAGAGAGAGAGAGAGAGGAAGCAAAGGAAAGGAGAGGATAAGAGAGAGAGTTTTTTTTTTTTTTGTTCCTGTGGGGTATTTGTTTTTTTTTTAATTTTTTTTTTTTCGTTTCTCCCTCTGGTATATGAAAAAAAAAAAATCTTTGAAGTCGCTCGTCAATGGTGTCGGACCAGGATCTAGCGAAAGGAGTCGAGACTCTGCTCAGGCAATCCGACCCTAACTCTCTCACATCGGTAAACAGTGTTATTCAGCAGCTTGAGGCTAAGCTAGGGTTAGACCTCACGGAGAAGACGAATTTCATCAGAGACCAGATCAATCTCCTAATCCGTGCTCACCCAACAGCCTCCGCCTCCGCCTCCGCATCAACCGTACAATCTCAGCCGCCGCCGCCGTCTCCTCAGCAGCAGCAGCAGCAGGTGCATTCCGGCGTCAATGTTCCGGCAAAAGGGCATTTCGCACTTCACCATCCGTCTCAATTCTCTCCTTCGCAAATGCAACAATATCCTCCCCATTTCGCTCTCCAGCCTCCTTACCACTCTTATGACCTCAATTTCCGGCAGCCATATCCGCCTTACATGCCGCCGCAGCACCAGCAGCAATCTCCGCGACAAGGACCTTCTATGCTGCTTCCTCAAGGCGCCAACGCTGCTCTCTCTGTTAATCAATCTCCCAAAGAAAGGTCCGTTTTGGGTTTTTTTTAGGGTTTGCATTTCGATAATTTGAAGCTTAATCTTCGTATTCTTTCCCAATGTCGTTCCGATTGCAGTAATTAGAGATTACCCTTTTGGGAATGTCTAAATCTTTGACTCAATTTTGTTCATTTGCTGGTTTTTAGGTTCACATGCCCAAGTTTAGAATTATCATCCAGTGATATTTTTAGCAGATTAATTACACACACCGCTCTATTGTAGTGGCTATTTCTTAATGCTGTAGCTAAAATTGGATTTTTTTCTTACAAAAAGAAGTTACTTTGCCCAAAATATCAAACGATTTTATCCAAAACGTATAAAGTTATTGTCAATTAGGTGAATGCAAGTTTTATGAATTGGGTTTGTCAGCTTTCCCCAATGTTCTCTCCATTGCAGTGCTCCAGCTGGAACTAAAAGAAAGGGTGGTCCTGGAGGACTAAACAAAGTCTGTAGGGTTTCTCCAGAACTTCAAGTCGTTGTTGGTGAACCTGCTCTTCCGAGAACTGAGGTTATCATCACCGTCTTCTATTCACGGTTATGACAGTGCGTGTTGTTTATAAGTATTTAGTGTTGATCTATATGGCTTTTGGTTTCAGATCGTGAGGCAATTGTGGGCTTACATAAGGAAGAACAACCTCCAAGACCCGAGTAACAAGCGGAAGATCATATGTGATGATGCATTGCGTGTGGTTTTTGAGACTGATTGCACTGACATGTTCAAAATGAATAAGTTGCTTGCTAAGCATATTCTCCCTCTTGACCCATCAAGTAATGGTTCATTACAAGCGTTTTTTTTTTGGCCCAACTCCAAATGTTATTGATCAGTTCAATGTTACTAACTGTTTGAAGTCTCTTTTGGCAGAGGACTCTGGTCAAGCGAAAAGGGCAAAAGCTGAGGTGGAGACTAAGACTGAGACTCAGACTGAGACCACAGAGCCTGTTAGTTCAGCTATTGCATTATCTGAGCCACTTGCTAACTTCTTTGGCACTGGTGAGACAGAGATGGCAGATGACGAGATTATTCGCCGTGTTTGGGAATACATAAAACTCAACAATTTAGAGGTGGGTGTTGAAATACTCTGGTTGCTCCTTTATATCTTCCTATAAAGTTTCCATTTTGCTGCTAACAAAGCTTATTTAATGGAATTCCTCTATAAGATAGTAATTTACAGAATCGGATTTCACGTTTCTGTATGTTTTAGAGCTTTTTGAATGGCTATAAACAAGAAAACTAAGCATTGTTTATTCTGCTTTTCAAAACGTTTTCAGGACCCGGTAAATCCAATGGCTATTCAGTGTGATGAAAAGCTCCGGGAACTTCTTGGATGTGAAAGCATTTCAGCCGTGGGGATAAATGAGATGCTGAGGCGTCATATGTACAAGCGGACTTGAAAACTTCTGGTTCTGACTTAATTAACTAGGAACTACTAGTGTAAGTGAAGTTTTTGATTTCACAGGTTATGATATTTATAAAGTCTCAGCATTGTCCGAAAACTGCGATTGACTTGTGTATCACAATTCTCTCTCTTGCAGGTGTATCTAGGGAACCTACTTATGACTCGTGAGTGTAGAACTCTCTGATAGGGAAGAAAAGAACATTTTCACTTTTAACTTCCTTTTAATGCTATTTTCATCTTCCTTTTGGTTGTGTATCGAATGGGTTAGGTTGATATCGTATTTTAGTATTTTACAGTATTTAGGAAATCTGTGATTTCTCTTGTGCTGAAAACTCTAGTGTACGGGTCATATGGCGCAGATGTTTTGTATTTAACGCCATGTACCCATGAATGTTTTAGGACCAAAGAAAAGTAAAAAAAAAAACTCAATGTGTTAAGCTATGTTTTACCTGTTGGAAATATTTGCATCCTACTGATAGAGAAAACAAATTATGTGAATAGTCACGATGAAGATTCATTTGTTTTGGAAAATGTTTTTGGTTTGGATTTAATTGAAGACTCCATATCTTTTAACGTAATTGATATTCAATTGAGTTTCTTTTGCAAAATAGTTGCAGATAAATCTTCCGTTATTTGAGCTTAGTCAAAGAAAGAAATACGTCAATAGAGAGTTTAATCTTATCTTGAATTTATTTTGCTATGTTTTGATCAAAATCTGGGTCGGGTGAAGTAGAAAGCGGCTGCAGCAAACAACAAAAGAGCAAGTAGGAGAAGTGTCATTGCTTGTCTTCTTATGTTTCCTGCTGGTTTCAAGAAAGTGACTATCTTCTCAGCCACACTGACTCCAAACGCCATAGTTCTCTGCAACAGAATTAAGAATTAAAAATGATTGAACACCGATAGCTAAAATGTATCATATAAATTGCTCAGGCTTACTAGTCTTAGAGGCTCTATGTGAAAGATTGGCTCCATGAACATCTCTACATTCCTGCATTGTTTTGGTTTTAAGATGGTCATGATCACGGATTATCATCGGTATGAAAAAACCGAGTTTAGACCAGAATGGTTACTGACTTTATCAACAGCTTTCCTTGGTAAACATGGCAAATGTGGAAGCTGAATCCCTTCCCCAATTGGATTTGTGGTTTCTCCCATTCTGCGCATTACAGGTTAATCATTGCGTGAACAATCATTTCAACCGAATTGGCCAAACCAAATAGGATCGGTTTAGATATAAGGTTATCAGTTAACCGGAATTAAATTCAGGGAGGAGAGACTAACCGAGTTGCCATTGAACACCAATGGTCATGCCATCTTTGGACGTTGGTTTAACAACAATCTTGATATCTTTCCCCAGCTTCATCATCAACCAGTAGAAAAAAGCCATCACTTGCTGCGAACCAAAATACCATATCACCCTAAGAACATGTAGATTTCGAAAATAGAGATTCCTAAAAGAACAAGAAAATTATCAAGATACCAATAAGCTTACTTTCTTGCCTTGCAAGAGTCGATAAGTAGATAAGAAATTGCAAAAGCATTGGCATTCATCTCCAATAACTTCTGATATTCCATTGATGTTTCGGTCCTTAATATCGGTGTATAGTTTTAGCACTGCCTCCTCTGCTAGATCGTCTTCTTCGTCTTCCTTCTCTTTCTCTTCAGTCTCTTCCCTATCATCGTCATCCTCCTCTTTCTCTTCCTTTTCTGGTCCTAATTTTCTTGCCCTCGTCTGAAGTTTCAAAGTCTTTTGTTTTGAGTGTAATCGGTCCAATCGAGAAATCGGATTGCCAAAAACCTTGCGACTCTTTGATAACACTCGGAAATTTCCCGCGTAATAATCTGAGCATGAGCTAAAGATATTTTTCCTTGCAGATAGTTTAGATGAAACTGTTTGCGTAATAGACATATACGAGGATGCCATTGCTTATAAATTGGATTGGTGCTGCTAATTACATAAGATTACAATACTTTATAAAATTTCTATGAAGAAGAAAGATTTCATTTGTCTAAAATAAGCAAAGTGTGGAAGAAACGAATCAATGAATTTTGTTGGACAAAGCAAAGCGATTAAAGAAGGCAACAAAAGAACAAACGTGGAAAGGTAAGAATCTTTTGTAGTTACTGACTAAAATGGGCCTCAAAATTGATCGTTAAGAAGGTCAAAAATAGAAAGGTCTAGAAGAGCTCGTCAATTTTTATTTCTTTAACACAAAAACCGAAACTCCATTGCATTAATGAAAGTGATGTTCCAAATAACATACATTCGCTGCAAATTATCTAAAAACTCCGAAATACAAACTTTAAAATGAGTAGATTCGTGAATTAAATTGCTTAGTTGCACAAACTAACTTCAGTCAGAGCCTTTCCCAACCCTGCAGGGAGGCTCTTCATACCGAGAACAAAACCCTCTTAGATCAGGAGCTTCTCTATAGCATCCTTGAGCTGCTGAATCTGTGATTTCAACTGGCTTGCCTCGTTCGATGTTACCGAACAAGCGATCACAGGTCTTGTTACACCGCATGCTCTTCCCAACGCTTGTTTCGAAGGTACAAACACATACGGCACATTCTGCAGTTATTCATAGAAACAAAAAAATGATGGTTTGGTTCAAAATCAGACCAGATAATTTGATACCTAGTTCACAAGACTTGTGAAACGGATAGCTAAAAAGCTAAATGATGGCATGTGTAATTATGCAGTTTGTTCAACGAGGTTATAAACTGTGGCGATGAAGAAGCAAGTCTTTATTGGATTATTTCAATAAATGTTATCTGGTTAATTCGATTTTGGTCCTCAATTCTTTTCTAGAGTTCTTAGAATATGCAGTGTCAAGAATGTAGCTTTCAAATTCACTCATGAGGAAGCTATGCAGCTAAGGCTAGCTTTCAACACAAAATGCAAAATTGCAAATAGAAAGAAGCTATGCAGCTAAGGCTAGCTTATTAGGCGTTTAAGAACCCTGAGAAAATTCTACACAACTACCAAAAGTTGATAAACACTAGCTTAATTAGAGCTTCTCTTATCAATATCTCGAAATTGCAATCTAATAGCTTTATTCTACAGACGATGCAAAGAACTGTTTCCAGAAGAACGAACGAATGCAAAATGGAAAATCAGCGTGCATCAAACAATACAGCGGAATAAGAGAAAGAGAAGAGACGATAAACCTTATCTTCGGCAAGCAAAGGAAGATGAAGAAGAATCTCGAGGGGCTCTGCATCGGCAGCCATAACCACGAACTCAGAGATTCCACGGTTTAATGTCTTGGTAGCTTCATTAGCTCCTTTCTTGAGCTGCTTGTAGTTAGTAGCCTGCTGAACAAGATCGAGGATTGTTATCGATAGCTGAGAATCTGCTAGCGGATACGCCTTAGGGTTCACTGCTTCCACCGTCATCTTCCTCTTCGAGCTCAGAGAAGAAGAAAAGAGACGACAAAGGGAATTAGGGTTCTAAAGTATTAGAAGGAGACGGTTAAATATCAATGATTCGTCGGGTTTTCGGGTTTCGATTGATTCGGGTTGGTAAAAATGGGTCCGAACTTTCGGTTTAGTTCGGTTCGGATGAAGCTAAAAATGGTACCCAAATTGGAACACAAATCTCATTTCGGATCGGTTTCCGTAATTCGGTCTTATTATTTCGGTTGTTTCCACATTAATCGGTTATTTCGGTCCGATTTGGTTAAATCAGTTCATCGTCATCGTCGGATTCTCGATTTCTTGATCGAGCTCAGAGAAAGTAGAGGAGGAAGATATAATTTGAAGATTAAATCTTCAAGTGAGAAAAGGAGGTAGAAGAGAATTTATCAATGGCGGAAGATCTAGTTCTCGACACGGCGATCAGAGATTGGGTTTTGATCCCTCTCTCCGTGGTGATGGTTCTCATTGGTATTCTTCGCTACTTCGTCTCCAAGCTCATGCGTTCTTCTCCAACTCCCGATGCGAAGATGGTCAAAGAAGGGTAGAGTCTTCTTTTGCTCTCCTTTTGATCACTTATGTGTAGATTGTTTTGTTAGAATTAGCTGATTGGGTTTTGACGTGCTTGGTTTTTCAGACAAGTTGTAATTAGGGCTCGGAATCTAAAGGCCGGTGCCAATTTCATCCCGCCTAAATCATTCCGAGCTCGGAGATTCTACTTCAGCAACGAGGTATGCTTTGTGGGGTTCGAGACCTTTCTTATTTAGGAGAATTTGTAACTTCTGTGACTAATTTCCATGTCGTGTGGTTCATTGGAACCTCAAATTTTCTCTGGCTTCGTGTGCTTTTAGTTTATTCCCTCTGATCTAAGTTGTTCTTTGGTACTTTATGGGATCTTTTGTTTGTCAGACATAGTTTAGTTCCTTGAGATAATCTGGGATTGGGTGTGAGCTATGATTGTGTTGAATCAGCTTTCGTCTCATTATGTTTCCTGAAATTAGTGTTCTTTACTAGTTCGTAGTTGCTAAGAGTTGATATGCAGCTTGGAAAGGTAAAAGCTTTACGCTTCATTTTTCATTTTTACATAGTCTCCTTGTTTTGCTTGAGACAAGATTGCAGTGTACTAGAAGAACTACCATCTCTATCGTTTCTCAGTAGTATAATTTGTGTGCCATTCGAAATGAAGAGTGCTCAGAAATAAGTGCTGCTTGATGTAGGAAAATGGATTGCTACATGTTCCCAAGGACCAAGCTCAAAACCCCCAAGCCCAGATGTTTTCTGATCCTAACATGGCCACGGATATGATGAAGAAAAATCTGTCAATGATTATACCGCAGGTAAAGTAAATTTTGAATTCATCTCTCGTGGTGTGTATTAATTAGGAAGCTGATGAATTCTACCATGTGCCAGACGCTCACTTTTGCATGGGTCAACTTCTTCTTCTCCGGATTTGTTGCAGGTTTGTTTCCCGTTAGATATTATGTCCCATCTTATCTTTCTTTAGCTTTACAGACACATTAATGACGAATCAAATTGTTTGTCTTTCCTGTTCCTTTTGAAAGACTATTGTCTTGGGTTTGTGTTTATCATCTCCTTTACTTTAAAGTGTCTACAAGGCCATAGCATCTGAAACCTCCTAATCTTATCTTACAGCCAAAATACCATTTCCGCTGACTCAGAGATTCAGGTCAATGCTACAGAACGGGATCGACTTGAGCACTGTCGATGTTAGCTATGTGAGCAGCCGTTCATGGTATGTATCGAGTTACATAGAGAATGACACATGACAGTTTTATGCGGGTTTTGTTTATATCTCTTGCTTCATGAATCTCTCAGGTACTTCTTAAACTTGTTCGGATTAAGAGGCTTATTTAGTCTCATTCTTGGAGATGAAAATGGTTAGTGTTGGCGTACTTACTAATTATTCCACACCGTTTTCCTCAAAAAGCTCTGATTTTTCCTGGTGAATATTATTTAGTCATTGCAAGTTTTCTGTTTCTTATGCAGCAATTGATGATACACAACGAATGATGCAAATGGGTGGATTTGGTTTTGATGCGTCAAAGGTAGACTATTCTTTTTTTTTTTCTAATTACTTTGTTAGACTTTCTTGAATCATCATCATCCTACATCTTTCATTTCTGATCTTGGTCCAACCCTGATTTTGTATCGTTGTCATTTGCAAATTGGCCTCTCAGAGCTTGAGCGCTGAGAAGGATGGTCTCGACATTATTCAACATGAATGGGCTCTACCACGATTCGAGCTCCGCGCAGAGTCCGTTTTGAGAAAACTGGTGCAGTAGAGACGAGAGGACGTGATAATGTTTTCTGCTGGTAGCTAAGATTCCTCTGTGTTTCGTTATCCTCCATTGTCATAAACATCGACCTCTACCAAATTTTCTTCTTTATTATACTTTCGTTATCCTAACTAAATGTATTATAAAAAGTCGAAGTCCAAAAGAAACTTAAGAAGAACAATAGTATATATAATAAGACTCTCAAAGTAATATATTGAAGCCCATGAACACACACTTAGATAAACTTCATGTTCTCTACATAGTCAACAAAGATTTGACCTATATAATCATCCTTAAACTCTTCTCCCTGAATATTCAAGCTTGTTATAGTTTTCCTCTCCATACTGTAGATGTAAAGGTTTGATGGGACAACGTTGTACAACGACCACATAATATCACCTGTACTAGTCATTCCAACAAACATCATGTTCTCATTGACTACATCAGGCAATACGTGTTTATGCTTGGACCATTTATGATTTACAGCATCTTCTAGAACCCAGCACACAAGGTGATGGTCATTTCCATTCCAATCATGTATACCTACTTTACCTTTGTAGTTGAACAAAGTCCAAGCAAAAATACCCAGCTCTTCTCCCATCTCTTCATTTGTGTTGATAAAGCTGAACTTTTCTGACCTAACGTCGAAGCAAACTACAGAAGGTTGTCCAAACCTAGCTCCTCCGAAATACAAAACACCATTTATGCATACTTCACCATCCATTCTATCATACAAACGGAATCTTTGTTCGATCCTTCTCCAAAAACGTTTTCCAGACTTCGATGTCAAAACCTGATGAGTATTGGGTCTTTCATCATCACCTCCTGAAGAGGTCATACACAACACTTTGAACTGTTTGCCTATCGGATCATAGCCAAGATACATTTGTGAAAGTTTCTCGTGCTTGTTCTGAATTTTCACTTTGGGTAAGGTTAAAAACTCTCCCGTGGCAGGGTTACAAATCACCCACACATTCATTCTACTCCATCCACAAAGCAAGACCAATCCACAGATCGACGAATTACAGAACATATCATATGGAAAATATTCGGGATAGGGCGTGTTATATCGGGTGGCTACAAGACAAGAGTTCTCATCTGGATTTTGTGGCTGAGGTGAAGAGTAGAACAATGACTTTCCATTAACTCTTACATTGAAAAAGAGCCGTGGACGAGCCAAAGACTTGGTCAGAAACAATTCGGTGAAATCAGGACGTCGAAGTAAGGATGCCCAGAATTTCGATACGCAACGAAACCTAGCTACAGACTTTCCCGGGACTCTAGAGAATATATCGATGAGTATATCACCAGGGATTGGGTCTGAGTATTCTCTTACCGAGTTCGAAGATTGTGTTTCATGTCTGGAGATGATTGATAGATTCTCCGACAAGTGCTGCTCCAAATTTTCCATGGCAGATTTTACAAACCCTAAGAATCGTTTCTTCAGAGCTTAAGATGAACGAAACCCTAGACTTCGGCCTCCTTCTTTCCCGGATTTCGACTGACTTTTTATGCAAGAATCCTAAATGGGCTCTATTTTTAAGCCCAAGATATACTAGGTGGTATGTAGCCATTAGAATTTTCTTCTCTCATTTTCCGGAGAGGGAGAGAAACTAAGTAGACAAAAACAGAGCAGCTTCTCCTTCATCTTAGGGCACGTTTCAATACTTGGCCACTGTGGCATCATCCGGTCACTGGATATTCTCAGCCGAGAAACTCATCACGACCTTTCTGTTCCTCAATACATTCAAGAACATCAAACCGTTCCTGGTGGACGAAAGCTGCAATTTTCATCGAACAAACCGTATAAATCCACTCGATCAAGTTCTCAAAAACAAATATTTCCAAAATTTTAGATTCTTAAAAGAACTCTGTTTTTTTGGGGGTACAATTGCATTTACCATTTATAGTCTTGTTAGTGAATTATCTTCTTCGTTTCTTTTGACTTGTGCAAAAGCATAGTGATAATGATCACTAACGCTAAGAAGCGATTACGTAGGTCGTGAGACAACAAATGATGCAAAGATCGTATATACCAACATACAAGACTCGAAAATGTTTTACATATACATACGATTATTATATACACTCAATTACACCTTGAGTTGTGTTCGGTCGTGGAACAAACTCTACATAGAAGAGCACAAATCTTCTACATACACATACATACATACATACATTGGTTAAGAGAGTTAGTACCAAGTCTCTCCTATGGGATTTTGATGAAGTTACCTAAAGCTATATCCTTTCCGCCTTTGCCTGAACCTGAAAAAATTCAAACACTTGAAATAATCAGTTTTTTTAGATATACTCGTACTCTGTAAAAGTTAACCTATGATGGTGATCAGTGATTCAAACTTCCACCTGCTAAAACTTTCAATAATGCATCTAGGTTATCATTAGAAATCTCACATCAAAAAACGAAGAAGATGAGGCTTACTCAATTGATAGCAACGAGAGGGAAACACTTATCACTAGATTCATTACAGTTACCTTGTATGGGGTTAGGGTTTCTTAAAGTTTCCTTGCTTTTGCTCATAACACCAGCTTGAACCCCTTGGACAGAAAATCATCCCTGAAGATTGTAACATAAGATGGTTTGAGCATACTGATACATTTACCCTCCTAACATGTCAAAGAATGACCTAAGACTCAGATTTGCCTTAATCATCTTATCCACATCCAAAATTCTACCAAGACATCAAAAATGACTAGGAAATGAGCATACACCACCTCTTATTACTCTGCTGCATCAATTTATCTTCTCGAGCTCTACGTTCTTTCCTGCGCTTAACTTCATTAGGATCACCTCTACATCCCAAAACAAGGCTACTCACAAGCAGTTCCACGCTATACGAACTATCACAGTCCTTTATTCTAAGCTTTCTAAACCTCTTACTCGCCAGATCAAACCACACGAGCTTCGCGTTGTTTATCTCCAGCAAAACCTTGTCCCTGTCCTTGGAATAAAGCAGAGGTCTCATAAAGTCAAACGATTCCACACTCTTGGGTTTAGGAACTCTAAACAGCTTACTCCAAGATCCTTCAACTTTATACTCCTTCATGATCCAAACATCAACATAGCTAAACTCGTGGTTACACATCAAACAAAGACAACCATCTAACACACCTATATCGATGTTCTCATGAGCAAGAGACTCAGGGAAATCGAGGATCTCAAACTCCTCAGAGGCAAGATCGAATCTTATAATCGTGTTAAAGGCGATAAGCCCAGGTCTTCTTGGCAAAACCCAGTGAAGACTATTGCAAGCTAAAACACCATATCCACGACGATACAAGAGATGGTAATAAAAGTAGAACAGTAATTGAATCGCAGGAAGAACTCTTTTGATCCTCTTCCATGAATTCTTCTTCAAGCTAAAAACTTTGATTTCATAAGGGAATCCAAAAACTAGCTCATCAGCTTTACCTCCTTTACACTGAATCATCCTCACAACTTTGTAATCTTCGCTCACCGAATCGTAACCTAATCCGTAAAACACATACCCGCGCGTGGTCGAACCCTCCGGGAAATCGACGATCTCAGCCGGTAACCGGTGGGTTTGCCGGGTCGATGGATTGAAAAGCGCAATATCGGTCGGTGAATTCGATAAACCGATCAAACCGTTGCACGAACCGAAAACCTCGGTTAGACCACCGGCTTTTAAAGGATGCTCGACGTCGGAGACTTTATCCGGTGCGTCGATGTCCACCGTACAGAGAAGGCGAGGGCCACGTAGCAAGATCATGAGGTGGTCTCCGGTTTGGAGTGTGTGATTGAGATGCGATGCGATGAAATCGGGACTGTCGATTAGAGAGAAGCAAGGCTTCGAGAGGACGCGGAATCGGACTAGCGTCGACGCCGGGAGACGGAGGAATAAATCGGTGATGATATCCATCGGAATATTCGCCATTTTTTCTGTTTTTCTCAAATGATGGAAAGAAACAGTGACTGAGAGAAGACGCTAAGATCTTCAGCTAATGAAGATAACAATTTGGGATAATGCGATAAAAGTAGACAATACGCAAATGTTTATTACACAAATGTTTTATTTTCACTTTGATAAAGAAGTCTCTCTATTTTCGATGATATCTTTTGAATAAAAATGCAATTTTTTTTCCTTCTTTACTCTTGAGTCGAGAGTCTTTAGTCTTGAGTCTTGATAATGCTGTTGAGATTTTCTATTAAAAAAAATCTTATCTTTTTTATTTCGATAAGATTATCTTGGGCTGGGCTTATAGATATGTCTATTATTGTTATTTTTGTTCGGCTATGTTTATTGTTGTTTAAGATACTTTTTGGTCTATATGCGGGACTAATCAGGCCCAATATTTGAAGATTACAATTTACAACCAATTTAGGATCAGTCTGACCATAATCCAGAGAGATGACAAATTTACAATAGCCCTTCAAAAATTAATATATATATATATATATATATATATTAGGATATCTGTAAAAAAATTGATGATGGACACAACTTGTAATAGTTTGGAATTTTGGATGCGATTTTTTTTCTTCAAAGTTTATAGGAAAAACTTAATTAAAAAAATATATTCTTAAGGACAATGTAAAATTAATTAACAACAATGCATTTACTATTTTCTTTGAACTCATTATACGCAGAATCTCTAAACCTAGCGCCACTTGCATATACGTTCCTTAGAGCATGTCCATTGGGGGGTTGGAAAAAGAGTTCAGCTCGAGTTCATAGACAGTTTTGATTAAAACAAAAAGAAATAATGCTTATATGGGAACGATCGGTTCATCAGGACAACCCTGAAAACCCCAGGTTCGTCCAAGTTCGTCCAGGTGGCAAGATATCATTAGACTAAGGTTTTTTTTCTTAATTTTCGAATTAAAAATAAAAAATTAATATCTGATGAACCTCTTTAAACTCTTACTAACTCACTTAGCTTACTCATCTGTAATGTGACATGTTTAACCAAGTATAAGTTCTACAATCAAAATTATCTAATTGTACTTAGTCGGGTTATATTAGAAGTCTATATATAGATTTTATAATTAATATGCTGGTTTTTCTTTATATTAATGCATCAACCCTTTAACAAAAAGAAAAGTTCTAAAATCAATGGGGCATGAAAATGCCAAACCGAGTTCACGGGAAAGACCATGCATCTATGTATATAATTTACGTGATAAAAGGAACAGGTCAAATCTATATATGACTGATGTGATAACATTTATTAAAGTCCTAAATCTCTGAAAAGCAAATTATTGTAATTGGATTTATCTTAATTTGGGCTATTAAATAAGGTTGAACATGCCAAAGATGGTTCACGGGTATAGCGTCTAGTGGCTACGGGAGAGATCTGGAATCGAATTATTTCTTCCACATGATCATTATTAATTTTATCAGTGGGTGAAAAACATTCTCCTTTCTTTTGGCAGAGACGTCAATGATGGGTTTGGAATAGTAAAGACTTAATGTGGCGATGAGCCAAGAACTGCGACTAAAGTACGACCAGGATTGTTTCTTTCCATTTCCGTTCACGTCTACGTTCTTACATTATTCGTAACATCAAAACTTAAACGTAAAATAAAAAATAAAATAAAAAGTGGTCAGACTGACGATACGAAACATGACAGCTATAAACGCTGGAATCTAGATTATTATCCGCCAAGAATAAATAAATAAGATGCGTTCATTACAATGCATCACAAGTATATGATCATGGTGAATTTTGTACTGTATTGATTGTAATGTACTTACTGCAAAATGTTTTAACTGGTACGTAAAAAGATTCTACGATGTTTCAATAAAATATATATATCTAGTGTTCAACTTATCTCTATAGTGCCTCGTACTACAATTAGAATTAGCTTGAACCAGTTACCAGTCATTGAAATTTGAAAGGCTATAAGTCTATAACCACTTATTTTCGTTTAGTTAGGTTATTAATGACCATGAAGCCAAAAGAAAAAAAAAACATAAATCAAACGCAACATATAGATTACTCGATTGCAAAACTTGAGTCCTCAGACATCTTACTTTTGGAATTATATATAATTTCCACTCTATTTATACGTAGTCGTGCCCATTTCTACGCATCAAAAATTCTTGGACGATTGATATCATGCCAGTTTTCTATATTTCATATTGTCATTGATCTCGAGAAACCTCTTTCAAATCACACCACATTTCCATATTTCACAAATCAATATTTCATGACAAATTCCGTACCTTTTTTTGGTGTTAACATGTAAAACGAAACTTTACCTACGTAATTAACGTTTAGAAGAGACTAGTAGTTAATAACAATATTGAGCTTGTGATATATATATATATATATATATATATATATATGTGTATATATACAATCGTTCCGTAACCTATGCTACTTACTATACCTATGATACAGAAACAAGTTATATCCGAAAAAGTTCGTACAAAAGGTTGTTCCAAGTTTGATTGGATACATTGACCCACAAAAATTCTTATTACGGAATGATTGTTCTTTGATTATACATTTCAATTAAATCCCGATCATATACACGTGTGCAACAACAATAGAACACTCACGGGCCAAGCATATTTATTAATTATCTTATCTTGTAGTATTTACCAAACCGAGGAAATTTATAAATTTATACTAATAGACACTGAAGATGTTGGCACAAAAGAGTCTAAAAATAAATAAAAACCATGTTGACAAAAAAAAGACACAAATCATTAATATTTTATTAAATAGGACAATTGAACAAATTACAAGGAGCTCTCGCGATACAACAAAAAGTAAACAACACAAACCCACAGATGTTTCTTATTAACTTCACCAATTCAAATAAACGAGCATAAAAGAAGACATAACGATAAAAAATTCAAGGTTTTTCATAGTTCGTAACTTATATATGGAAAAGTGTTTGATTTTAAGGGCATTGGAAACCACGTGGTGCCTTTCTGCTGCAAACATTGAGAAGTAAGCTAAGGTTGATGGGAAGGTTAAGGTTGATGCCAAGAACACTAGCCTTTAGGGCAGTGCAAAGACAAACCGCAGCTTCAAGATCAACCAACCCCTTGATGAGGCTGCAGCATGGAGTCACAGGAGGAGTTCCCAGAGTCACATCGTTTAACAAGTTGAGTGCGTTAACACAAACACCGAGCTTTAAGGTATCTTTAGGGCAAGTCCCGCTGGTGGTTGGTGTGGTTGGTGGGCTAGGTTTGTGCTTGTTGTGTTTGCGCGGTGGAGGAGGACAATTGGTGCTCCGGGTGGCTGTAGTGAAAGTGAAGAAAAGGATGTTGAAGAGAAGGAAGAGAGAAAGAGAATTCTTAAGAGCCATTGGTTCTTTGAAGGAAGAACAAAAATAGCCCTAAAGAAACTCTTACAAGTTGAGTAGTACGTAGAAGGTAATGATGGAGGAAAGTGAAGAGTGTTAAGTGTGTATTTATAGAGGAAGTGAATGGCTTGAGTAAAGAATTAAATGATATATATTATAAGCTAAATAATTTGATTAATAATAGTGGTTATTAATTTTGTTTTATTATTTGGACCGACCACGTTCTAGCCCTAGGGTATTTAGCTGGCGATAGGCTAAGAGTTTGGAACTAAGTATAAAGTTGATATATTAAAATGGTTTTTCTCTATGTAATGTCTTGTGTTTTTCTATCAATACATTTTTAATCTGACGTTCTATATCGTTATGATAAAAATTTACTCAGTTTTTTTTTTTTAAAATATTACTTTTGATGTAATTGTTACCTGTAACAAAGTTAAATTTATTACCATTTTTAAGAATATGTAGCCTAGTAGTTTTTCCTTGTACTCTAACTGTATTACCGTTTTCCAGTTTACCATTAATGCATAATGCAATATTGTTGGAAAGAAAAATTCTAATAGTTTAACTAGAGTGATTAGAACACCAAAGACACAATGCAAAAACGGAGAATTTATTAATGTTTTATTATATAATTATTGGTCGAAAGTAAAAAAGTCACAACCATATATAGTTGTGGTTTAAGCTGTGAGTAAGTTTTAGTGTATTGATGTAATTCGAAGGGAAACAAGGAGATTGTTTATGGGCAGGTGAAGCCTCGTGGGATCCTGCGGCCACAAGCCCTACAAAGGATAACGATATCGCGAGAAGGAGTGGGACGTCGTGGTCCTTGTGGTTGCACTAAACCACATAGGCAAGTAGCTGCATCAGTATCAGATAGATCGCGGATGAGAGTGCAACATGGCTGGGCTCTTCCAAAGTTTAGGAAATTTCCAAAACGTCTTACAACATTAGAACATGCCCTTTGTTGTGCTGCATTCCGGGGACATGTGGGAGGCTGTGGTGGTGGTGTCTGGGAGTTTGGTGGAGGAGGTGGTGGATTTTGCGGTGGTGGTGGTAGTGTGGTTGGAGGACGCACTGGTGGAGTTTGTGGTGGTGTGGTTGAAGGAGTTTGGGGAGAAGACTGTGGTGATCCGGTCGGAGGACGCACTGGTGGTATGGTTGGAGGAGTTTGGGGAGGAGACTGTGGTGACCTAGTCGGAGGACGAACTGGTGGTATGGCTGGAGGAGTTTGGGGAGGAGACTGTGGTGGTCTAGTCGGAGGACGCACTGGTGGTGTGGCTGGAGGAGTTTGGGGAGGAGACTGTGGTGGTATGGTCGGAGGACGCACTGGTGGTGTGGCTGGAGGAGTTTGGGGAGAAGACTGTGGTGGTCTGGTCGGAGGACGCACTGGTGGTCTGGTTGGAGGAGACTGTGGTGGTCTAGTCGGAGGACGCACTGGTGGTGTGGTTGGAGGAGATTGTGGTGGTCTGGTCGGAGAACGCACTGGAGGTGTGGGTTGGAGAAGTTTGACGAGGAGACTGTGGTGATCTGGTCGGAGGACGCACTGTTGGTGTGCGTGGAGGAATTTGGGGAGGAGACTGTGTGTTCTCGTCGGAGGACGCATTGGTGAAATCTGTGGTGGTATAGTTGGAGGACGCACTGGTAGAATCTCCTCTGTTGTTGGCGATGGGCTGTTTGATGGAGGAAGTTGGGGTGTTGTGGTTGGAGGAGTTTGGGGTGGAGTCTGCGGTGGAGGCGGCAGTGATGTTATTGGTGAAATCTGAGGGGTTGGCGGTGAGGTGTTTGATGGAGATGGTGGTAGTAGTGGACAAACACACGGTGGGCACGCTGGTGGAGGTGGAGGTGGAGAACGGCGTGGAGGTGGTGGTGGAGGACGGCGTCGAGGTGGTGGTGGAGGCCGTCGGGGAGTAGGCCGGTTCTGGGCTTCAGTTTGGCCGAGGAAGAGGATGCTGATCAATGCAAGGACAAAAAGTAAGGTTTTTGTTGAACCCTTTGGAGCCATCTTGTTTGTAGGCAAACGTTGTCCTCACAAAATGAAATGTGTACGGAAATTGGTGGATTCTAAGTGTACTGAGATTGTTGGTTTTTATAGCAGCTTTTGGAGCGTCAATAAATTTGAATTTTGCCACTTGTTCTATATTGCCAAACTCTCTTCTTCTGGTTAAGGCTAATTAGGTGGCTTCATTTCACGTCATTTTTCAAAAATCGTTGACTTGGCCTAATTTGGTCGGTTTATACATGCCATGATTTCCATTTCCTATTTTTTTCTTTCTTTTTTTGCTTATTCCATTTTACATGACTTATTTACTTTGTGATAATGTTAACGTGTTGTTCGACGATCTCAAATTCGTGGTCTATATTAGAACACAACCTTGTTCTGCAGCTTGCATTGATTTATATGTATCATGTAATCGATGATTAAGTTTCTATATAAATCCCTCCTGCTATAAAGTGTATCTCAAGTAGTGTAACCATTCTTATTAGCCAACTGACTTGTTTTGGGCTATTTCTTTGTTGTTTCTTCATTAACGAAAAGCATATCCTGATATGCATAATTACCTCACCAGCTAATACACTAACTGTTTGGTAGTTAACACGGAAAGTTAGATGAGACAATGAGTAATATGTAAAAAAAACATTAATTAATCTATTGTCAATTGATATTGAGTTGAAAACTAACAGTTAGTATTGGTCAACTGGATACTTGTTTTGGTCCGATGTTATAGCTAGCCAAAAATGGATTAAGCTCGTTAATTCGAAATTAGTTAAGAGTACTGTGGATTTTTCTATTGAATGCCACTGATAAATTAAGCTTAGGGATGGGGACACTCGAAGGTACCTTGCCAGACACGTCTCTATAGTTAGGCTATATATATTGACAATTTATTGGTTTTAAATTTTTAATTACTTGTTCCATATGTCCACTCTTTAATTTTCTTTTTCTAATTTCCATACAAGTCTTAGCACTGTTTGAATATTATAAGCAAAGTAGAAATAATTAAATCTACTAATATATCACTAAATCAATAAATAATGAATTTGTTTTTTTGGTAACTTTTTGTTTTTGGTCAACAACTAGCTATATATTTGGAAACGAAATTCAGACTATTCAGTTACTTTACACTATCCAAATTAAAAATATAGAAGTTTGATCAAAGATTTGAGGCCTTGTTTGTATATACTGCTAAATAAAATAGATATTATAGCACGATTATGCCGTAAAATTGATAGTATGGCCAGATCGGGGCAGATGAACCAGTCAAGTTCTTAATCAACGTACTGATTCTATCTTTTTATAGATCAAATCTACCATCGAGAAAAAAGAATCTTGCTAGCAATTTGATGCAGTTATATATTTTTTCTAGGAAAATTGATCAATCGATTTGATCATATTCATCTCTTGGATGAATCTCTTGAAACCTAAGAACGACAACAATTTCCCTTTTCTTCTCCTCTAATTTGGGGGTTGGCCTAGCATTATGAGATGTTAACTTTAATTTAAAACTTAAGTGTTTACCTAATATTCGTACATATTATTAATTTCGTTGCCAAACCTCTTTTTCCCAAATGATAAGAGTTTACATCTTTTGGCAGCTGCAACTCGGGCTGCGTGTTGAGGGACCAAAAAGTTGATTCTGTGACTTATTATTATTTACATATATTTACCTTACTATCACACATAACTTAATTTAGCTAGACGTTATTCTATGAACTATGGTAGCATATGATACAAGTATGCAACAAAACCTTCATCTAAACACAAAACAGTATAAGTCTACAAACACAAACCCTTAGACTTTTTTAGATCCAATTAGATGCTGCAACTATATTAACATTATATAAATCTTCTATATATGTTTAAAATTTAGTGACAAATGCGTGGTGCGTCACCTGTTTCTAGTTACTAACATTTTCGTCATATTAGATTAAATATGTCAAGCCCAGAGATGAAATAGTAACTGGTCCAAATTTGATTTGACGGTTTAAGGTTGGTCGAAACACAATGCAGTGGTTAATGGCTGGACCAGATCAATGCCCAAAATTACATTCATGACGAAAACAAAGATAAATGAAAAAAAAAAAGTTGAAAGATATCAATAGCCAAAAAGGCTTTTTTGGATAAAATCTAAAATGATTGGAACTAATAAGCAGACAGGTTGCCGAATACCGGTTCATGCTGCAACTTGTATACACATTCTTTCATGGGTATGTTTGAAATTCACTGATAAATGCGTGGTGTTTTACATAGTCAGATGTATCTGTTAGTAAAAATGACTTAGTAAGATATGCCTATCTTTTGTGTTTACTTTATATTCTTTTCATTTCATGTATCATGCTGGAAGTCAATTGTGTCCTACTTGAAATCAAAGGGACGCTTTGTTTCAGCCATATCTGAAAACAAAGAGAATTATAAATTTCTATTCTGTCATTGTGAAATTTGGTTAAAAGTGTATTCGTCTTGTGAGCAATGAGTGTGTTACCATACTTGAACTTCCCACCAGGTTGTTTGAGATTTTATTTTACGTAGCAGGTCATTCATTTTATTTGAATTTTTTCTCTAGAAATATCTCTGAACTAAAATAGTTTAGTGTGATCACATTACCAACTTTATTGGTGTTTAATACATAAGTGTTGGAAGAAAAAGAAAAAAAATCGCGAGACGTTTTAGCTATAGTTTATTGGTAAGTGAGCAGGTTTTACTTTATTGAGGTAGTTAATTAAGTAAAAGGGCAAAGAAGTGGTCATGGGCATGTGAAACTTGGAGGAATAGTTAAAATGAAATAAGGTCGTTGGTATTTATATCTCTTTTAGAGATTCACTACAATATGACTATCTACCACTTGTTCAATTACCTCTTTCTGGTTAATTGGTGTTGGATTCAATCCAAATCTGTCACCACCACTACTAATCGGTGCTTAAACACTACAATATTTGCGGTAATTGGCACGAGATCAATCACTAATTCAGTCCATATGGTATAATTGGTCGGTTAGATATTTCATGGTGTCGTTCCAAGATTTAACCTAGAAAACTTTAATGTCGTTTTTTAGATCTAGTTGCCGATAACTTTACAATTTACACTACGGTATAAAAATTATAGATCTGAATAAAATTTTGGATGGAAATGCTAAATTTTTATTATTAGTAAATAATAATTATTATTTTATTTTTCTTCTGTTATCTAGGCTTGGCTAAAAAAAGTCCATATATTCTTAGTGATCAAGTTATGTGCATGAATATGAAATATCAACTTTACTATAGAGTTTTTGACGAAATGTTCGTCCGTATCATTAATTGTACTTGCCAAACCTAATTTCTTCTAGAATGAGCTGCAACTCGAGCTACATGTAGAGGGACCAAAAGCTACAAACTGTTGCTAAGTATTTCACTAACTAAATGATTAACTAAATGGTACCAAGAATAATACAGCAATTCCGCAGGTTCTTTGGATCGATTTTTTTTTCTTGAATCGTATTTTCGTTTTTTTTTTTTTTTGAAAAAGGGTTATTAAATTAAGATTGAGAGGGAATAAAATGTAAGCAGAGTTATTAATAAAATACCTTCAAGAAAGAAGGCGGTATTATCAGGCTATCATCGAAACATTGGTTTATCTGCCTCCTAAGAATCAGATTTGAATCGTATCTTTTATGCATCATCATTTCCGCGAAGTAGATAAAACTAAAGAACAAAAAAAAAAATTATAAATCCCCACATAAGTTCGATGAATTGCCAAGGCATTTGTATGAAAAGAGGATGATAACTTAAAGATTAAGCTTATGTTGCTAGTTTCTGCTTACTCCCTACTACTGAAAATCAAGATATGGTTTTCATTTTTTTGGAAGTTCATATTTCTTGTACATAAATTAACTGTTTTGTTGAGCAATAAATTTGAAATTTCAAGAAAAAAAAAACTAATGACGGTGAAAGATGATATCGGCAAAGAATAGTAGAAGCCATATTTTTTAGAATCATTATGGAATAGAATTTCAGGTATTTATTTACATGCAACCGAATAAGCTGTTACGACTAAAAAGCTATTGCAAATTTGCATATTAAAGTAAATGTATGTTGGTTTGCTAGAAGAAAATTTAAATTAAATCAAACGGCGGTGAGATGGAAAACCGGCGAATATTTTCCACGATTCTGCTATTCTACCATAGATCAGTAATTGTCTCACTCTCATCTAACGTCTCGCTAGAGAACTCTTAAACACTATAAATACAAACCCTCACACCCAATACAAATAACTCACACTCCTTTATCTCTCCCAACTACAATATATCATCAAAATCTTATTTAGCGTTTTCACAATATGGCTTCCAAGAAAATGACGACTGTCTTGGCTCTCTACTTCACCTTCAACCTCGTCTTCCTAGGCTTCGCCTCGGCCAAGCCTGCGACGCCTCCCCAACATCCGGTGTGTCCACTTACCCGGTCCGAACTCAACGTTTGCGTCAACATACTTAGCCTCGTCACTGTTATCCTCAACCCCCGAAATGTGGCCGAGTGCTGCAACCTCTTGACTCGGGTTGGTGGTGCTGAGGCGGCTAAGTGTGCCTGTGACGCGGCTAAAATCAGCGTTCTCGGCCTCCTTACCGTCAGAGTGAGACTCAATCAGCTTCTCAGTCTCTGTCCTGCTGTACAAGTACCACTTGGTGGTCTCATCTGCAACTAATAAGTACACAACATGCATAATCACTAAAATAAGCAGACGCGTTCCGTAATATATATCGGTTCATGGTGCAACTATGTTTTTTTTTTTTAAATAAAATAACTATGTATTTATCTTATGTTTGATATAAAATGGTGTTTCACCTGTTCGGTTGTTCCAGTGGACCAGTACTATGTTCTTTAAGTAAGATGCACGTATATGTAATCTTGGATGAATATATATATAATATCATAGAAAACACGTTAATTAATATATATTCTAAAAATTACTATAATGTTTTTTGTTCCAGGTATACCTTTATTTGTCTTTTACCTTTTTGAAGGTCACCTCTATTTGTCTTTGATTGTTTTCTTATGATTAACGTATTTACGAAATATAATATTTATTTTGTTGATGTCTGAAAAAACAATTTCAATTATTGCTGTGCTGCCACCACATGCACTTTAACAAAGAACTAAAATAAGTGTGCCGATTTTCAAGTTAGTATGTTGGAGTTCTTTTCTCATTTTAATGTGAATAATATATTACCAACAAGAAAGGGAGGTTGCCTACATAGATCGTTTATAAGGAACGAAGGAATTTCTCGGCCAAAAAAAAGTAAAAAGCCGAGAGATATTAAAACTGCATCAGTAGATTACATTACAAATGGGAGAACCAAAGTGGCAAGAGGGACCTGCAAGATTTCTAGGTGCAAGGAGAGTATCTCTGATGGCGCGATATAGTTGCTTGGACAGTGTTTAATGTTGAAGCGTATGACCAATCCATCGCTTTTCATACCATTCTAAGGCAACAATAGGGTGCATGACAAACCTTGAAAGACACCACGTATACATAGGACTCAAACGTGTGATGCTAGGGTTGGCCGACCATAGAAAACAGAAATAGCTTTTTTGGTGTCTTGGAGAATACGTGTTTGAATTTTTTTGAAAACAAATTCTGTTAAGGATCTCTTGTAATCTATAAACTTTGTGCAAGGATAGAAACTGGTTGGTCAAAAACTATAACAGGTTGTTTTAATTGTGCATAAATCCAATTGAGTGTGTGACACACACATCAACCTAAAATGTTTATAGTAGATTGGTTTTAAAGTCTCGTTGGGCTAGTATTGATATCTTTCGTGTTATATGTAATTTCACTTTCACAAAATATTGCCGTTTAATACATTTGATTTGTTGGGAAACCAAAATAAATAAATAAACTGCCACACTAGCCGTTATCAGAACTAGACCTAAAATGGTATTTCTAGAGTTTAGTTAATGAGGGCTGGTTCAATCAAGATATGACTAGTTCAAGTCCGTAGGCTTTTAAACATTCACAATATCCATATATATCGGATTCGGAGTATGTCAATGGCATGCACTATACATAGAAAATGGCGACTATTATCTTTTAGTTACCTGGACCACATTTAATTTAGGAAACCAATGTCAATTGCTTTTATTTTTTTTTCTGTAACCGATTTGGAAATGTCAATTGCATCTTTCATAATTTTTGGAATAGAAAACTAAACCCCATGCTTCAATTCATAAATCCAGAGTATGGAATCGCGTTCTTCTGTCTATCATTCATTTAACGAAAATGACGGGTGAACACATATATGTTATAAGAAATATTTAACCCAAAAAAGTTATATATATATATATATATGTGTGTGTGTGTCCATGTCCTTTTTTACTGAGGGATATTAATTAAATAATTAACTAATTTATACATTTTGAATAATAATATATTAATCTGATTTATCAAGTATTTTAAAGCGTTTTAAAATTACTAACTATTCTTAATATTTTGAATAATTCATATTCATAAACCATAAAAATAATAAAAGAGACTAAACAATGTGTTGTGGTCCTTGTGGACAATAATACATACGATTAGATCACAACCGCAATTTGTTCTGACTTTTGTGCTGGGGGACAACAAGACAAAAGTAATACACTTTATTCAATTATTATTCTTCGTACACATAACGACATGTAATATTCCTTATTACGTCCTGTTTAACAACAAAACACACATCAACACTGTATGAATAAGCAAACATACTGGTGGGCGTGGCGCATGGATAAGGTTCTTATGAGGAGATATTAAGGACTACTTACTGTTGGTGGTGGTGATGGGGGACACTGAAAACCGATAGGAAAAACCATATTACAAGCAAAAAATATTTCTCTAACGGCCTTATCGATACCGAAAATCAAAGGAAGTGGCCTGAAGACAAAGCAGAGGCAATCGGCTACTTGGACGTTCGCAAGGCCATTGATGGCACTGCAACACGTTCGTGCCCTCGGGTCGCCAGCTGTAAGATTTGCTAGGCCAGCGACATTAGCACATACACCTAGTTGCAAGGGATCTCTAGGGCACGTACCGAAGCCATTGGTCGTAGCCGGTGAAGGCGACATGAAGAGGTCAGCTTCAGCGATGCTAACGACGAGGAAGATGATGATGAGGCCATTGGTGGTTGAGCTCTTTGAGACCATGTTTTCTTATATTTGTTGATATTAAAGTGTTGATGATTGTGGTAAGGTTGTGTGGGTATTTTATAGAGCCATGAGAAGCGTTGAATATAAAACTTTGTCACATTTATTATTTAACTCGAAATACCTAATTGTACTCTTCTATAATTAGATGAGGTTTTAGAGATTTAGGCAAATGCTAGGCCCTCTATCTTACGTACATTTACGCATCTACTACACAAGAGTCTAACCCAATTACTATAGTCGTTACAAATATTAATATCATTTTTATTTTTGATGCAATTTGTAACATCATTTCATGCAACCGATACGTATTAGTATTGATTACAATAATCAATGAAAACATTGGAATTAGTTGGCACAAATTTTTTACTACTCATTGTAGTATTTCTTTCTACAAATTAATCCACCGTTAAATCCAAAAACAAATGTGTAAATAAACAAATTACGCGACATTAATTGTCTTACAAATGTGTAAATAAACAAATTAAGTGACTTTAATTGTCTTCCTATTTGTAGAGCTTCTATTCGAGAAGCAACCCACGTACGGTTAACGTATCATGGACGTAATTTGTGTTATGTGTCTCATCCACTTAACGTATCGTTTTAAGTTTTATTTTTGTTTCACAAAAAATGTTGTTTTATATTTTTAATGCAAAATTTTAAATAATATTCCAGTTTTAATCCTATTAATTTAATGTATTTATTAGATAAAAACAAATGATTTAATGTATTAATAAGGACAAAATTGTACTTTTAATAATTTTTTTAATATGTGTGAAAAATGTCAGAATGACACTCTTTATGAAACGGATGGAGTAAGTTTTATAGTTAAGAAAATTAAGTTATCAGAAATCAAAATCGACATTTATTTGTTTTTTTAACAGGAAAAAGAAATTAATTTGAATTTAACTTTACAAAACGAAAACTAAAACTAAAACTTAAAGAAATTAATGCCCACTGCCAGACCCCACAGAAGATTTATATACTGCGCCAATCCAACTAAATTATGTTTGTTTTTTTATTACCGATGGTCCTTTCAGTCTCTACGGTTGCAGATTCATGTGCTCCATCTAGAAAAGTAGTGAGGATTTATTGCAGCAGAGATCAAGAGAGAAAGACATTAGAATATAAAATCATTTTGTTTGCGATTTGAGTTTACGTATGTATCAAGTTGTTTATAATGGTTTCTTCCATAGAGATATCTATAACCACCAATGGTTTTGTGTGGTCAAAGAACAAAAATAAAAAACACAATGGATAGGCCACTACAACTTTATTAATGTTTTATTGAATTATTGGAAGAAAGTAAAAGTGACAAAGTTATATATATATATATATATAATGACTTATATATATATATATATATAATGAGAGCTAGTTACGGTTTGGGTGTATGCATACTGAGTAGAATTTTAGTTTCTTATGGGGAGAGGATGTGTTCACGGGCAAGTGAAACCTGGGGGAATCCTGCGGCCACAAGTCCTACAGAGTGTGATGATATTAGGAGAGAGACTGAAACGTTTTTTATTATTTTGTTTTTTATTACCGATTGTCCTTTCAGTCTCTAAGGTTGCAAATTCATGTGCTCCATATAGAAGAGTAGTGAGGATTTATTGCAGCAGAGATCAAGAGAGAAAGACATTAGAATATGAAATCATTTTGTTTGAGATTTGAGTTTACGTATGTATCAAGTTGTTTATAATGGTTTCTTCCATAGCGATATCTATAACCTCCAATGGTTTTGTGTAGTCAAAGAACAAAAATAAAGACACAATGGAAATGCCACTACAAACTTTTTATTAATGTTTTTGATTGCATTATTGGACGAAAGTAAAAGTGACAAAGCTCTATATATATGGGTAATGAGAGCTAGTTACGGTTTGAGTGTATACATACTGAGTAGAATTTTAGTTTCTTGTGGGGAAAGGAAGTGTTCACACACAAGAATTTTAGTTTCTTGTGTGTGGAAGTTTGCCAATAGGAACACGAATGGCACCGAAAAATTTGGGTTTCGTTTGTTTTCAATTAATTTCCCTTCTCTTCCAAGTCAACTTAACGGTTCGTACATTATTACTGTCTCTCTTTTTTTTCTCAAAATACTTTAATTATTAAAACATTTGAGTGATACATCTCCAAACATTCGAGTACAAACATAATCATTTCCAATTACATAAATTAAGTTACCCCCTTAAGCTCTGTTTTCAAATCAAAGTAACCTTCTTTCATCAATATGCGACAACAGTGGAAGGGTCTAGATTTTTTATTATTATATTTAATTTAACTGTTATACACAACGACGACAAGAAAAAGAAAAAAAAAACTGAATTAGTAGTACACAATAAAATTATATATATATATATATATTGATATGATTTATTGAAACAATATACATTCATAGAAATCATATATTATTATTATATTTGGTTATACATTACATCGCATAGAGATCTTATTGATTAGTTCATAAGATGCAAAATAAACGTCCAGCATTGTAAAAAATTTAGAAAAAAAAAGAAAAACTTACATCAAAAAAAAAATCCGATTGAAGTATTATGCTTCATCGGTTTAATATAAATCTATTTTAAAATAAATCTTAGGAATAAATTATTTAAGCATTAGACCATCATTATCGCGATGACTGGTGTGTGTTTCTTATTCCAATATATTGTTTTAATATTGGTTCAAGCCCAAAAAGAAATAAAATCGGCTCTTATTCTGGAACTACAAGAATCGATTTTTGTTGCTAACGTGGCGCATTGTGATCCCCACAAAAAAATTCTCGGCTAAAATTTCATTTTTCGGCTAAAAAAAATCCAAGTCTCGACCATTTCCTCTTCTTTGCACCAACCCTTGATGCATCAAAAAAACTGAGTACGAAATCGTCTTCATCGAGTGATCGTCATCATCTCCGGCGAAATATCCGGCGAGAGGCCTGTCTCCTCCGGGTGGAGACGCCTACGACGCCTGGGCTTCTCTTTTCCCTTTATCCCGATCACTTTCTTCGTTATCTCCGAGGTAACAAAATCATCCCCTCTAGTTATTTGATATTTCCGATTTACCTTCGATTTGCTTTCTAGAATAGTTTATTGGAGCTTTTAGATCGTTTTGATTATGAATTTTTCTCCTATTTAAGCGTCGACTGAGTTAGGGATCGATGATAACATTATGTAATTGATGGATTGTGTGAACTCATTTTATGAATTTATTTATGTAATCGATGGGTTTAAATGCTGTTTTCATTGACAAATTTAGAGTGTCTTGTTGATATTTTGTGATGCAGGTTTAGGAAATATGTAAAGTTGTCAATGGAGTTATTGTTAATCGAAATGTAGAATTGATCGAGTATGTAAACATCAATTGTTTGCTAGTTTATGTACTAGTTGTTTTGAGTTTATAGGTTTTTTAGTTTTTGTGATTCAGAGTTCAAGTGTTTGCTAGTTTCTTTACTAGTTGTGATTCAGGTTTTGGGTTTTTCTATTTACTCTGTTTTGTTTTCAGTAATGGCTAATGGTGTGTCTTTTTTTTAATGCAGAGAAAGGAGATGATAACGGTGGTTCCGCATCACATCTACCATCTCGTCTTGTCATTGCATCTCTTCAGGTTAGTCTTCAAACCTTTTAAGTTGGTAATAAATGAAAAGTTAGTGTTAGATAATGGTAGATAAATGCAAAGTTATGGTTAGTCATTAATGGTTGCTTGATGAATGCTATATTAGTGTTAGGTACATGTCTTTTCTATGTGGTTAGAAAGGGTTTTTATAATGGTTAGTAATCAATGGAGAACCATTAAGAATGGTTCTTCTTCTCCATTTAATCGGTTGTCCTTCACTCCCTATATCTGCGAGGTGCTTCATGAATCTTTTCCTTGTTCATTCTATTGGTTTCTTTCCTAGTTCTTCTCCTTCTTCTCGTTGCATCATCTAGTTCTCTTTCCTTCTTATCATTTTGTTTCTCTCCTCCTACTCGTTCATTCTTCTCCTTCCCTTTCCTCGTTCATTCTCTTGTCTATTTTTTCTATGGATTTCTCTTCGACTCCTTACTCTCAGCCTTCAAACTTCGTCGATCTCCTAAACAGTCAGCAGGACAGCGTCTTCTGTGGAACAGCTATGAGCCTTGGTGAAGAGCCGGCTGCAGAGCGAAAGGAGAGAAGAACATGGACACCAGCTTTGTATCTTTTTAACTTTCTTATTTTTAATTTGACACCACATGACTTTGTAACTTTCTTACTTTTATTTGACACCACAAATTGTATCCGAAAAGATGTGGAACGTGCTTTTGGAGTCTTACAAGCTCGATTTGCTATTGTTAAAAACCCAGCTCTTTTTTGGGATAAGGCAAAAATAGGAAAGATTATGAGAGCTTGTATCATATTACACAATATGATAGTAGAAGACGAAAGAGATAGATATAATCTGCTTGATGTTTCAGACTTCCAACAAGGAGAAGAAAATGAAAATAGAAATGTGGATGACACGTTCTCAACCGATATGCCATCAAACATTACTAATATGATGGATACTCGAAAAAGAGTTCGGAATCCACAAGTGCATCACCAATTGAAGTCGGATTTGGTTGAGCATATATGGCAAAAATTTGGAGATAGCCAAGACGATTATTGAGCTTTTACTTTGTTTTAATTATGTTTACAAATAAAATTTGTATGTGTGAGTTGTGTATTTCTTTTGAATGTTATAATTAAATAACTATGTTTACTTTAAAAAAAAATTATATAAGAAACCCATTAGGGTATTAGCAATGTACCATTACAATCATAATATTTTTTAAGAAGGTTTCTTAATCTAATTTTAATAATAAAAAACTCTTAAAAAACTCTTAATGGGTGGTAGGGATAATGATGCTCTTACTTTTTGGTCCAACCGCGAACCCACCCTACTGGTACGTTATATGCGCTTCTATAATAAAAGCCATCTTCCCTGGCAATATACTGACGTAGCAGGCCACATCTACGATTCATGGCTGCTCGGTATACTTCAATATTATCAGCACGGTTCTCATTTTGAGGTCCCC